CAGTTAAAATACAATGCCAAAGACTGTCCTGAACGCAGCTTGCTAATTCAAGGCTGCATCTGCCTACCTGCTTCAATCAGTCGTTTCTCGCACATTTTTTGCAGCTTTTGCAGTTGTTTCGCACACTAATACTGATTGTCAGCCAAATTCTGTTAAAACAAGGGGAAGAAGGGGGAAATAAGAAGGAAATGGTGGAAAACAAAACAGAATCTGGGAAGTAATTTCTTTCACTTTTATGTGGGAGTTGGGAGCTATTCCTGATCAGCCATCCTGAACAGGGCAGTATTATTCTTAGGGGATATACTTGCAGCAGCAGTCAAAATGCGGAGTTAACTTAGGTGGAGTAAGCGTTCTCTGAACTTTTATCTACTGACAAAAAAAAAAATGTGACTAACATAGACTAAAATAAGACTGTATCACACACCACATCAACCCTTAATTTCTTTTAAAGTAAACGTCACTGTAAGTGCTCATAAAGAGAATTTATGATATTTTATTTTTAGCTCACTCTTCAGGCTATCCTCTGAACAGTGAGACAAGAGAGAAGCCCCAGTATTACAATACATTAGATTATGACAATGACAACGTACACGCGCTTCTACTCTGACCTGAATTTTGGCTTGTGTATCAATGCAATTTGCACATGTATAGTACACCTTTACTATGTAGTACTTTGTGGTTGCATAGTTGTACTCATTTTCAAGTTATATTGTGCCAGTGTTTCGACACTACAAATTGATGGCAGGTGACCAGAATATGTTTGCTAGAGATGTGAAGTGATTTCCCTTCTGCCTTGTGAAAAATTTAAGGGAAAATCTACCTCTCTGCTGCGGGGGAAATGCAGTATATCCCTCACCCAGCAGGCAGCCATGCTGTCTGCCTATGCTGTCTGTCACTCCAGTGAGTGACAAATAAATGTTTATTTGTGTGCCCTATAATATTTGGTGCTGTATATATGACTATTTTATATTTCCACTGTATTTTTACTTATATGTATATTTTAATTGTTGTATTAAATAAATGTTATGTGAACACCTTGGTCTTTCACGCTGTAGTTTTGAAGCTTGAGGAGAAACTGCGCACACATTTATTAAATACAACTTTGTGTTAACCTACTTTTGCTTTGGGAGTTCATTCAGAATCATCAAATGGGTAGAGGCAGTAAGCTCTATCCCAATAGATCTGGGAGAACCACTGGACGTGGCTAAACATACAGAAGACTGTTGGGGAGGAGATAGTGAGGAGACAATGGGCTATTTTAAACAGTGCACACATTAGGTTATACTTGTTACTGTACTGAACCATTTACATTGATCATAAAAAACAGCTTTGGTTGACGAGTCCACCTCAGCTTCCCCTGTGCTGGAAATTTTGATGCTGTATATAGACACATCGCCATGGACTGCCCTGCCAGCTTGGATGACTTGGTCAGATACCCAGAGACATGTGGGATCCTTTGGTTGTTATAAAAACAGACTGGCAAGTACCGACCAGAATAAATAACACCCCCTACTGGCAAAACAATCAAATAGGCGGTGTGGAGGGAACAGTGTTTAGGTCTGGATAAAGGGTGGGGAGGCCCACAGGGGGCAGAGTGCAGATTGGGTGGAAGTGGTCAGTTGGATTGCTTGGGTCAGCACAGATGACAGGAAACCAGATGGGAGCAACTCATCCGCCTCTTAATCTCCAGGACTTGGCTTCAAACCCAAGCATTCAGCGCAATTTGGCTTTTTAATCATACTTTGAATTAAACATAGCTGACATCACTTTAAAGATGCAACAGGCAGCACACGGTGACATTATGAAACCTGGATTTGAGCCACTAGTGAGGCCTGATGACTTTTTTTTATGTTTTATTCAAATTCCTGATAAACAACATTTGTATAGAAGACAATTCTGTGTGTGTATTTAATCAGTCACTGCCTGCCGTCACCTCCAAGTGATACCTCTTGTAGTGGGATGGAGTTACGTTTTAATTCTCCTTCAGGTATTACGACAGCTGTTTTGGAGACAGGTGTAGATGGAAATCACGCACTCCTGGCCAGACAGTCAAATTAAATCCCAAGCAAAATTAAATTAAAAGGCAGCCTCAATATCGGTTTTGTAATAGAAGCAAATGTGATGAGAAGCAATTTAAGCAATTTAACCACTCATGGACTTTGGAGCACTGGAATAACATAACACTGGCACACGCGCACACACTGATTATTCTTTTTAGCATTTCTGGATGAGCATGAATAGGAGGCATTTAGCCGATTACCCACAGGCAAAAATAAATTGCTCAAATGTCAGTCAACTAATGTCAGTGTTCAGTGCTCTTTTTTTTCATAATGTGTTCTGCTCTACATTTCATTAACCTTTCTGCATAAAGGCAGCTCTTTTGAAGTAAGCTGTGTGAAGTTATCGCTCTCCCATCTACTTCTCAGATCAATACCATGACTGGAATTATACTAAGAAATAACTGATGCTTATAGGGAACAAAGATTATAGACTTGGACCTCACTGTTTTGTAAGCGCATTGTTTATTGTTTTATATTGCTATAATTATTCTCAATTCAGGTTAAGTGCACCTCCAGATTGCTTTTCCCCAGCCATTACTGGTCACTTTGTGTTTTTCTGAGAAAATAGGTTGGAGTTTCTATGGAAACAGTTACTGCATTCAATTGAGAATGCCACAGCCCCTGCCCTGTCCGAGGTCACCCAGCATCAAGATGATTAGATCTTACAACACCTCCGGTATGAAATGCACCAAGGATTGCATGTCTCAATGAACACAGAGAAGAATAGCAGAAATTAGTTTTCTTCTTATTCACCATCACTCGTGTATAGTTTAGTTTTATAGCACATTTATAGAAGAGTAACAGATACAGAACATATGGAGAATTAATCAGTTGAGGTGATTTATTTTTTTAATGTATGTAAATTATATAAAATATTGTTTGTTTTAAACTTACAAACACATGTTCTACTCTTCTTAAAGGCAGCTGAGTGGTAGAGCTCTTGTAGGTAATGATGAGATTGGGTGAGCAGGTGGTGTGCAGATCAATAGTGAGCCTGAAAGGAACAAGTGATTACTACTGGTAGTGTACTCTGCTCCTTTATTACCCTCTTCAAAAGAGCAGCAATCACGAGGACATTATTTAGCCAAGACAGCAGTCAATTTAGGCACAATAGGGATCCAACACAATTGTCTTAACCATTGTGTCATTTCCTCAAAGGCAGCTGAGTCAGAGGCCGAACCACTCAGTTTCTATATTCGTTTACATCTGTGCTCGGTTGAACAAATAATGATGAATTAATATGTTTTATATGTGTGTGTCAGGGTGTGTGTCGGGGTGTGCGTGTGTGATGAGAAAAGGTCAAGACAACCAACATGATGATTTCTTATTGTGCTCCGTTACAAAGAACATGTCAGTAATCTTGTTTGCTCCCCCAGTGTTGTCATTGTTTGTGCTAAACCATTGCTCATGCATACTTTGCTTACTTGTTTAATTTGGACTTCTCTTGATGAACTATACTACTATAATCCTACCAGCATCACAGGGATTGAATATTCACTTCCCTGCTTCTATGTCTCGTGGCTCAGTCTGCAAATGTTAATTTGTATTTGGCATGATATAACGATTTTCTATAGCCAATACAGATATTTCTCTATCTGCAAGGCAAGTGTATTACTAACACTATGTATATATATTTAAATGGAGCCCACGTTTGTTATGTTAAGATTTTGGAGCTAATAACTTTCAATCACACATAGGTGTAATGAATTCAGATTAAAGCTAAGTAAATACAATACTGGTGAAGAACGCCTGTATTTCTCGAGGAAGCTTAAAAAAAGCCAAATGCCCATGACAAGTTCTTGTCAGCTGTCACAGAGGAGCAATAGAAAGCATTCTTACTGGAAACATCACAAACTGGGATGTGCACAGCCCAGGACCCGGGGGGCTCTGTAGCGGGGGATTAAAACTGCTCAGAAGATCATTGGTACCCATCTCCCAAGCATCAGTGATATCGGTGGGGTGAGGTGCCTAAGCAGAGCCCAACGGATACTAAAGGACAGTACCCACCCAGCCACAGCCTGTTCACCCTGCTGCCTTCTGGGAAGAGATGTAGAAGTTTCTGCTGCCACACCACCAGACTGCAGAGCAGCTTTTCCCCCCAAACTATCAGACTCTTAAACTTAAACTAATTCATCCTCAGCACTGCTCCAGTGATGATAGTTCATTTCTGTTTACCATTTTTATAATTGCTTCTGTATTAATGTATATTGTCTGCTATATAGCAGAAGGGAGTTACAAAGCTCACTTTCACTGTATAACCTGTTATATTGTGACAATAAATTTACCTATCCTATCCTACAAGTAATTTATTTACAATTGAGCTATAAATGATGCAAAAGGAATCCCTGACAGTCATTTAAAAAATGTATATTTCTTGTCTAAATTTTATAGGAGTCATACATTTCATCCTCAGTTCCTCCCAGAGCAAGAACTATAACTGAGGATACTAACGTCAAGTGGACAGATTCAAGACATAACAGTTTTAAGTATAAATGTATCACAAGAACCCGGTGTATAAAGCAATACTCTTCTTGTTGTTGGAAATAATCCGGTACTGGCGTACATAATTGACTCTGCATTTGACTTTTGCTCTGTCCCTTTAAACACGGTACCTTTAAACGGCATTTTGTGCTCAACTACATTTCCCACAACATACGGTAAGTAGGTGGGACTGTGGACCATCTTCATAATCAGGTCAACCAATCATATACGTTCACTGGCGAGCGCGTACTTCGAAAATGCGTGACATTGTCCAATGATCTTGTGATATTTCACAGTTTATAAAAATCCGGCCAATCGTGGTGCTGCCGTTCATCACGCTGGCCAATCAAAGGCCTACTATGGTGTAGATGGGCGTTACCACAAACGGCCAATCAGATTGAATGTGGAGTTTAAACGGTGAGCGCGGGCGGTCCTAGAGTAGCTTTGGGGCGGATTCAATAAGTGAGGACGCGTGCTTGAATTTGAATTCAGGCAAGAGTTAAGATCTTGTTAAGATATTAGTCAACTAAGTTACTACAGTACAACAGAGGCAGCGAGCAGTATTGTAACACTGTATATCTTATTTTGTGGTGAAGTAGTCTGTAGAGTTCATATGTGTGAAACATATTAGCTAGTTTGCCGCAACATTTAAATCGCTGCTCAGAGTTCTTAGCTAACTTAAAGGCATCGCTATTAGAGGAGAGACACTGCACTTGCAATGAAAGCAGGCGGTAAGTAACGTTAACTTAAGTTAAATTCAACGAGCGCTTACTACCAGAAATATGGTGATTGCTTAATGTATGGTGAGTGTTTGTGAATGTGTGTTAAATTCTTGCAATTTTACAGAGCTAACAGTGGTAACTAGCTCTGAGTCTTAGCCAACTCAAACGTTAACCAGTGGGGTAACGTTAGCCATAGATTCTTCCTGTAAATTACTGTTAGTTTCAAATGGGTTAATGCTGGCAATATTTGTTGAAAATGTGCCTCCTCCTGGAATTTTAACGCGTTTGTGGTAATTTAAAAACTATAATACAATGTTAAGCTTTATGAAACCTAACTAGTCGTTAAGTTGAAACTTAATTTGAACCTCGGGAGGGAAATTTCGGCGCTCACTTGGTTCGACTCTCCCTGTCCGATGCACAATTCATTGTCGTTAATGCTTACAGTTATTCCATTATATGAGGTTGTAGTTATGCTTATTTTAGTACTTTTAAGGTAATCGTCTTTTATTTAAATATGTTCACATTGAAACAGGGGGTTTGACTAGACCACCCGGAGACGCCTTACGTAAGGAGTTTTGACTGTGCAGCCATAACTTTTAAATTGGTGTAACTTACCAGCTAACATATTAACCAGCCACTGGTCTGCTTTAAATGAAGTGCAAATATTAGTTTAACATTAATGTGAGAATTAGTTTGTGAGCCCTGCACTAAGATGTGAAATGCTTTTGGGTGATTTGGTGTGTGTATGTACGTGTGCACTTCAAATGTGTCTACTACTATGCTGTTTCTTGCACTGAATATGGGAACCATGGTAAAAAAAAAGTAAAGAATGGGACAGTGCTTGTTAAAATGTATGAATTGTCTAATACACTTTTTATTTTTTCTTCCAGTAGTCCACTGCCATTGTTCAAAATGCTACTCAGTTCCATCACGGAAGCGGGTCCGTAAGCGAACTCCAGCCCTAACCTTGCTGTCTCTACCTGAGGAGGTCCTCCTTTGTGTGCTCCAGTGCCTCTCTGCTGAGGACCTGTTGTCTGTCAGAGCAGTGAGTAAACATTCTATACACACTGTAACACCACCACAAAACCTCTTGCATGTATGTGCCATGCCATCCCAGATTTGGTCTGGCTCTGGCATCTTGTGACCACCTGATTTGGTAGGTCAGATGTCTCTTTTGTTGAGGGATCAATTGTCTTGACATCTCTCATAGGTCCACTCCCAGCTGCGGGACATTGTTGACAACCACTCCAGTGTATGGGCCAGGGTCAGTTTCAGAGATACTTGGCCATCCCCCAATACCTTATGGCTATTTGAAAGGTATGGTCATTTCTGTCAAGGAAAAAAAATCTCACTAATGTATTGTTTTTCTTTTTTATGGGCTTATACCTGAAACATCTCTCTTCTTTCAGAGCTGCTGAGAAGGGGAATTTTGAAGCTGCTGTGAAGCTAGGGATTGCGTATTTGTACAATGAAGGACGTAAGTTAAACCCCATAACTCTCTAATTCAACCATTCATTGAGAATAGGCTTAGCATTTATGTTTTTCCTCCTTTTACTTAATATTTGTTGGACCTATGTTAATACATATACCATCTATCTTACAAGATCATCCTGGTTAAGTAAAGATCAAATGAAATCGGGGGACGTAAAACCCTCTTGATGAGTTTCAAGTGATTACAGCTCTTCACTTGTGCCTTGTTTCTCTCCACCAGCGTTGTTGAGTGATGAGGGGCGAGCGGATGTATGTGGTCGCAAGGCCTCCCACTTCTTTAGCCTGGCAGAGAGCCTGCGCTCTCCTGCGGCGTATCCCTTCATCTGGGTGTTCATCCGTCCACCATGGTCGCCCACCGGCAGTTGCTGCAAGGCTGTGGTGTTCGACCGCCTCAAGGCTGAGTGTGACAACAATGTGGTAGGTTTTGCCACTGCCATTTCTAGATGGTGGCTAAATGTGCTTACTTTTTAACCAACCTTGGTGGGAAATTAAGCTGCATTCATTTTTAGCTTGTGTCAATAATTTATCAGAGCTGATAATATTAGTGTGTGCAAGTATCAATTTATTTTGTCCTCTTTCCCCTACAGGAGAAGAGAGGGCCCTTGTTGCACTGTTTGGCCAGAGTTTTGCAGCTGTTTGAAGTGAGTGTAAAAGTGAGACTGAATGTTTCTGGGTGTGGTGAGCCCAGTTTCTATTAGCCTCTAATAAAAGTGTTTAGCTTTGTGCTACTGTCAAGGGCGGGGGGGCTGTCCGACTAGTCATTAACAGCACAGATGGGATAATTGTTTGTTGGTTTCTTAACATATCACAGCTATTGCCTTAAACTCCCTGTTGATTATTCTTACTCATAGCCCTGGTGGTGCCTTGTTATTTAATAGTGTGACAAATGATTTCACGTCATTGGTTACATAGGGTTGTTCGAATCATGACACATAAGACAAGACAATGTATGATTACTTTGTTGATCTAGGAACAGAACATTTTGTCAGTTTGCTTGGTAAGATCTGTCATTCACATCTGTAATCGTAAACTTTTTCCAGGAGAATGAAAGACGCCAGGATGCCATATCTATGCTGGAGGAGTCGTCACAGGCTGGCTGTCTACAGAGCTCCTACCTGTTGTGGGAGCACAACAGGAAAGCAGCTGTGAGTTTCAATCTCTCTTTCAGTTTGCTAATCTGCGTTGTTCTTGGATACGTTGGTCTTATTGATTTAGGCTGCTGAACAGTTTCTCCTTGTCCAACTTGAACAACAAAATATTTGTTCATAGTTTAGTACAGATATGCACTCAAAATGATTTAAAAAAAAAACAAAAGATGAACTAAATTGACAGTTTAAAAGTTTTATTTTTTTTATTATTTTTTTTATTTCAGATGGCAGATCCAGGCAGGTACCTCCAGTGTGTCCGAACGCTGAGGGACTATGCTGGTAAAGGATGCTGGGAGGCACAGGTGTGTGTGTGTGTGTGTGTGTTTCAACGCAGACAATTACCATTATATTGATGCAGCAGTTGATTTTACTGTGTTTTTGTGTATTTTCAAGCTTTGCCCAAGCTGCACCACAGAATCACAAAAATGACTAATGCTCTGTAATTACCGCAGCAAACTACTTCACAACTTCAACATATTGTTGTCTTTTCAGCATGACCCAATTCAACATGCTGTCAAGCCATTGTGAAATATGTATATTTAACATGTTGCCTTTTCTTTCCTCAGCTCTCCCTGGCCAAAGTGTGCAGCAGTGGGAATCCTCTGGGTTTGGAGTCAAAGGCCTGCTCTGACTTGGTGGCTCAGCTCTTCAGCTCCTCTAACCCACCATCACAACACTGCACTCAGGGTATCCTCAGACGGGGCATCAAGGACACCATGAGGTAGACAGGAACAGAAACTCTACCATGATATTACTGGCATACGGATTAATCTTTCTAGACAATTAAATGTTCCTGTTCGACTAATTGTGATTTATCTCTTTTTAAATGTTCTTCTTACATGTCTCCCTCTCTTTTTGTCTCTCCAGGTATATCTTGGTGGACTGGCTTGTGGAGGTGACCACCATGAAGGATTTCTCCAGCCTGACGCTGCATGTAACAGTGGGTTGTGTAGATCGCTACCTGGCTCTGCGCTCTGTCCCCAAAGCTCGCCTCCAGTTATTGGGAATCGCCTGCATGGTAGTTTGTACACGGTGAGAATGCAGACATGCTTATTCTCTGAAATGTTCATATGTTTTGATTATTTTTTTGAGAGAGAGAGAGAGAGAGAGAGAGAGAGAGACTCTCTTTGGGGTTTAAAATGTTTTATGATTGAATTTTATATTGTGTTTGAGGGTACATTTAATCATCCATTTGTATTTTGTTTTGAATGAATACAGTTTAGTTATAGAGTAAGATGCTTTTCTTTTTGAACCTTTTCAGCTATATCAGTAAAGAAATCCTGACCATACGTGAAGCTGTCTGGCTCACAGACAACACCTACAAATATGAGGACCTGGTTCGAATGATGGGAGAGGTTGTCTCTGTGCTGGAGGGAAAGATCAGGGTGAGCACAACAAATATTCTTATGTCGTGTAGAGTATTTAAGTGCTGAAGTGACTGACGCGCGCCCCCCCCCCCCCCCCCCACACACACACAGAGTCCAACCCTGCTGGACTACGGGGAGGTGCTGCTGTCTCTGCTCCCTCTGGAGAGGCGGACCACTCACCTGTTCAGCTACATCTGTGAGCTATCGCTGCTCTACTCTGCTCTCTCCACGCCACCACCTGCCAAACTGGCCTGCGCTGCACTGCTACTTACGCGAGCACTACATCACTATGGTAATAACACACACTGGAACATCACGCCAGTTTGAATATCACCATTGCACCTGCACATAAAACAAATCTTATCAAACAAGAAGAATTTACAGCTTTAGTTGAGTGTTAAGTTTATATTCACCTTGATTTATGCCTTTGCTGTCCCTCTCTGCAGCTCCCCTCTGGCCCAGCCAGTTAGTTGACTACACCGGCTTCTCCAAGCAAGACCTCGTCTCCCTTTCTGTGCTGCTCTATGTCAAGTGGTGAGTGTCTCAGTGTGTGTTCTGACTGGATTGGTAGCCAAGCAATTCATTTCTCTCCTCCTCCTCCTGCTGCCAGGTCACATTCAGACACAGACAGCCCTGTGTGTCTGCAGAACAGAGCATACTCAAGCCCTTTCTTTTTACGTAGTTAGTGAAGAGATCAGTTCTAATAAAAATAGCACTGATGTTCTCATGACCTTGGGAGAGGGAGAGCATCATAGTTGTGACCTAAGCACACTCAAGTATCCCTGAGTTTATATATTTAAAAAAAAAAATAATAATACCAAAAGAGAAGCTCTGGACATTTCATCCTTTTGAAATGGGTACAATTTCTTTGACACCTGCCCTGCTGTGGCTATGTGTTTGAATAGCCATGATAGCCAATGAAATAGGTTCCTCAGTCGGTCACTCGTAGGCAGCACAGTTCTCACTAAACCATAGCATTATCCAGCTTGCATATTTGTTCAGTTTCTAAATGTGATGTCTAGTCTTGAGCACAGTATAATATACATTTTCTCCAAATGACGTTAGACCAAACATACCTCTGTAGAAAGCGGGTTTTGTGAAAACTCAGTTTGTTAACCCTGAGATGAGGGGAAACTCTGGGTCTTCAGGTCCAGAAAGAGGGGTAACTTAGGGTGCTTTCACACCTGTAGTTCGGTTCATTTGGTCCAGACCAAGTGGAAAAAAATGATGCACTGTTTCTGCATTTCAGTTCTGGTCTAACATTGGGCTACCATTCATGCTTGTAATAAATTACTTAAACAACTCTTGGCGATACAGATCAGAAGCATTAAAGTGCTGCATAAACTTCTGTCAGTCACCAGAGTTTGAATTCCCCATATGGGTCCTGATGATGCAGGATGACAATCGCCAAAGCTGTCCAATCAACAAGCTACATGTAAGTCTGTGTAATGTCATGGTTACTTTGCTTGGTTCGTTTGTAAAACTGTGAACATGAACCGGACCAAAACTAAAATACAACAGTGTATAATTTTTTTTTCACTTGGTCCGGACCAAATGAACCGAAGTACAGGTGTGTAAGCGCCCTACTGCGGGTCACTTACTATGGTAGCTGACTGTGAACCTAACCTGCTCACTGGCTGGTTCTCTTCAGTAAACCCTGAGTTTTGATTCTATCTCCAACAGAGCTTGAAACACTGTTTCATTTCCTCATTAGCCAACTTCCAGACATTTTTTATATGCGCATTTTGCAGTATCTCATTAGAAAAAGTTGATGGAAACGGCAAAATTCAAAAAAATCCTTAATTTCGCAGAAACGTTTTTACGCTTGCTTGAGGTGGTTTTTGCCTTTGTCGAAATACTGTTAATGCAGTAAATGGGAGATGGAAACACTTTTGTTTCTTGTTCAGAACCCATACATCTTCATTACAGCCATGTGTAACGTCAACTACTGACAGAACTACACCTGTAGTAGCCTGGTTTATTCGCTCCAAACTAGCAAATGGAAACGCACAGAAATTACATTTACTTTTTTTTTGCAACATTTCAATGGTCTACTTAAAATTTGCATGACAATTAGATTGAAACATGGCTATTGATTCCCTCCTCGTCAAAGCAGATATTGAAGCGCATTAGTTAGTGGATGTTTACTATATGTTAGTCTAAATCCTGGTATTAGTTTGATACTCAGGACTACCTAAATTTACTGTTTTTATGCCTGTCAGTTATGTGTGTGTGTGTGTGTGTGTGTGTGTGTTAATTTCTAAACTATATTTTCCATCTTTAGTTTCTGGGCTATGTGTTTTGTCCTAGTCAGATTAAAGAGGAGCAAATATACACTGCTCAAAAAATAAAGGGAACACTTAAACAACACAATGTAACTCCAAGTCAGTCACACTCCTGTGAAATCAGACTGTCCTCTTTGATCGTCAGTCAGTGTTGCTTTCTATTTCACATGCTGTTGTGCAAATGGAATAGACAACAGGTGGAAATTATAGGCAATTAGCAAGACACCCCAGTAAAGGAGTGGTTCTGCAGGTGGTGACCACAGACCACTTCTCAGTTCCTATGCTTCCTGGCTGATGTTTTGGTCACTTTTAAATGCTGGCGGTGCTTTCACTCTAGTGGTAGCATGAGACGGAGTCTACAAGCCACACAAGTGGCTCAGGTAGTGCAGCTCATCCAGGATGGCACATCAATGCGAGCTGTGGCAAGAAGGTTTGCTGTGTCTGTCAGCGTAGTGTCCAGAGCATGGAGGCGCTACCAGGAGACAGGCCAGTACATCAGGAGACGTGGAGGAGGCCGTAGGAGGGCAACAACCCAGCAGCAGGACCGCTACCTCCGCATTTGTGCAAGGAGGAGCAGGAGGAGCACTGCCAGAGCCCTGCAAAATGACCTCCAGGAGGCCACAAATGTGCATGTGTCTGCTCAAACGATCAGAAGCAGACTCCATGAAGGTGGTATGAGGGCCCGACGTCCACAGGTGGGGGTTGTGCTTACAGCCCAACACCGTGCAGGACGTTTGGCATTTGCAAGAGAACACCAAGATTGGCAAATTCGCCACTGGCGAACCATATGCTGGTGCGGTTGGCCCTGGGTTCCTCCTAATGCAAGACAATGCTAGACCTCCTGTGTCTGGAGTGTGTCAGCAGTTCCTGCAAGAGGAAGGCATTGATGCTATGGACTGACCACAGACTGTCCAGGAGTTGGCGGATGCTTTAGTCCAGGTCTGGGAGGAGATCCTTCAGGAGACCATCCGCCACCTCATCAGGAGCATGCCCAGGCGTTGTAGGGAGGTCATACAGGCACGTGGAGGCCACACACACCACTGAGCCTCATTTTGACTTGTTTTAAGGACATTACATCAAAGTTGGATTGGCCTGTAGTGTTTTCCACTTTGATTTTGAGTGCGACTCCAAATCCAGACCTCCATGGGTTGATAAATTTGATTTCCATTGATAATTTTTGTGTGATTTTGTGGTCAGCATTCAACTATGTAAAGAAAGGAGTATTTAATGAGATTATTTCATTTATTCAGATCTGGGATGTGTTATTTTAGTGTTCCCTCTATTTTGTTGAGCAGTGTATTTCCAGATTAGCCAGATTCCACCACTTTAGCACCCAGTAAGGAAAGTCTGGTTAAGTAAAATTTTATTTATATGGCACTTTAACCTTTGTTTTAAAAAGTGCTTTACAGAGGGATGGAAGGTAACACAATAAATACAAAAACGGTTCAAGGCGTCACAAATCAAAATTAGACATGATGACTCATGTACAGAAAAGGATAAGTCTTCAGCTGTGACTTAAAACACTCCAGGGACTTTGCTCACCTGACACCAAGAGGGAGACTGTTTTACAGCCTGGGACCCACGAAAGCAAATCCTTGTGTTTTTAGTTTAGAACAAGATATAACTAGCAGGCTTTGCTCGGGGGACCTGTGGGGCCTAGCAGAGTTATAAGGCTAAATAAGCAGTTCACTTAAATACTCTAGAGCAAGATTATTTAGCGCCTTGTATAGATGAAGATCTTGAATTGGATCCTAAATTTCCTAAATATGAAGGCCCGATGAATTAACAGACAACACTGAATAAAATGTTATTGTGTTAAGTTTTTGACACTTTCCCTGGCTCACTCAGACTCTCTTTAAAGACAAATGTGCACAGTACGCATATATACATGCATTGGAAGTCCACTGGATTAAAATGGAAGATCTGCCCTTTTGTCATGGTGAATTTTAGTCGTTAAACTCCATTGATGGTGGCTTTTTTTTCTTTATTCAGCATGCCCAAGCTTAACTCAGTGAAAAGACGCGTTTCGACTAAAGTCCCCGGATCTCTTTTCAAGGAACTAAAAGATTCCTTCAGCCCATTGTTATGTGCGTTTTCACCGTGGTCAAAACACCTGCGAAGATTTGGCAAATGAACCAGGCTGTAGTCCTGTACGCCGTACGAAGCGATTGCCAGACTCACGTCTGTGTCGCCTGAGCGCCAGAGGAATGTGGTGTTTAACAAGCTTTATTACCTGGTGTGATCAGCTGTTCCGCTTGTTTTGGAGAAGAGGAGACTTCGGCTCTTTATAAAAACTTCCATACTGATAACTTAAAACAACAACTTCGGATCCAGTATTTAGCGCAACTCCATCAACTGTTTGCTATAAACACCACTGCACGCTGGCTGCTATCTCCGAGAAATACATTTAATGGACACTGACGAGGTGTGTGTGTGTGGGTGTGGGTGTGTGTGTGTGTGTGTGTGTGTGTGTGTGTGTGTGGGTGTGTGTGTGCGTGCGCGCGCGCGCTATTTGACTGTTTTGACTATTGATTGGTTTGCAAACAGAGGTGGAAAAGAGGGGGCAGTAGTTTTAAAAATAAATAAATAAAAACAGCCGACATACTCGCCCATTCAGAAATTCACTGCAAGGCAAGCCCCTCCCTCCAACGTACCTGTCCCTTCAGAAAGTACTAGGGTTCCTAGTTCCAGGGTATAGTTAATTTGGTTGAAACGCGGCTAAAGTAGATTGAACTAAAAACTCATCGACTCAGGGTTGTCCATTATGGAGATGACTAAAGAACAAAAACAAATTCTCCAGACTTGTATAAAAACAGTATTGTTTATTAATTCAATTTATCGGTTTATTCCATTAATTTACTGTACAGCCACTTTTCAAAGCCTATATGCTCAAAGCAGAAACACAGATAACAAGAATTGACTGCTGTGTCTGGTGGTTTTCAGCATGTTCATATAGCCACATTATTTGGTATAAGATTGTTTAGAACATCTGAGGGGGTGTGGGGGGAATCAGTGAATCACCTACTGACTCACAGAAACATGCCTCAGGGTGAGTCACTTTGATAGGTGAGCATCGTATCGACAAACTGTAATTCTCAAATGGACAAGTAACAAGATTTGTCCCCAAGAGCTGATTATAGAGATGCAGCAAGCAAAGTGGATCTAACTCATTTTTCTTGTCTCTGCCACCTCCCCCGCTCTGTCTCCCCTCAGTTTCAGTCAAGATGTTCCCAAAGATTACAGGCATGTGTCTCTTACTGGCGTCAAGCAACGGTTTGAAGATGAGGCCTACCAGTACATCAGCAAAGAAAAGGTAATTTATTTTTACTTTTCATTGCAGCAATCGGCAAAGTCTTCTCTTTACTGGAATTTTAAATTGTAGCAAAAGATGTCTCTAACTGGTTCTCTGAAACTGTTCACTGATATTATTTCATGGCCTCTTCAAGGTGATGGACTTTAAAGAGCTGTGTCAGATCTTGGAGATTCCTGAGGTGGAGCCTCAGATGGAGCCTCCCAGTCCAACTGGTCAGCCAGCAGACATCCACACCTTCCTTGCTTCTCCATCCAGCACCAACAAGCGGTAAGCCAGTTACCAACACTTAAGTTCCCCATTACAACACATTAGGGCTTGGGTGATATTTATAAAAAAGTAAAAAAGTACATGGCTTTATGTCATGCGTTGGTGGACAACTGTGAACATTTGCGCAGTGTGGTACATAATGCAACACAACCTGCTGGCCTCAAACATTTTATGAGCCTCATTAGAATCTTCTTTTTTCTATGACATAGTGCGGCTGTGAGCAAGCAAGCTTACTGGGCTTGCATGGTTTTCTAATGTTCACTGGGCCATTGGGTCAACCAACTGTTTTATGGTTTAATCCAATATGTTCATTAAATATTAAATGTATTCAGGCATTTCAGTTACCTAAGTTGGTTCTCCTTAACTGAACATTAACAGACAAGAGGTTTTTGAATGGCTGTTTCTGTGATCCATTAAAATCAAAGAGTTTTCATAAGATGGGGTTTAATAATTTCACATGTGCAAATAGCAGCATGAACAACAATAGAACATGAGGATTCACACCGTCTCATCACACAGCTGCAGCAAACCTTTAAACCTTAATAAACATAACAGTTGCTTCCTTAGAGGACACAAAATGTCATTGAATGGTTTTCATTGTGAAAATGATGGAGCCATACGCTAAGGCCCTCGCAATCATCAGATCTGAATCCAGTGAAACACCTATGGAGGATTTTGAACCAAATTATCAGTGGTGTTTCAGAGACGTAGAATCAAGGAATGATGAAGATGGTCCACAGGCTCCTGTTGGCCCAACATCTTACAGGGACATGGTTTTTGGTGCTATCCTGCAGTAATGAGTCTAGGCGTAGGTGACACAGTCTGACATCTGCAATAACAAACGGGTAGAGATGTTCACTGCTCATTGCACCCGGCATGAATAGTCACATGACTTTAGAAAAACGGTTGACTGTTGGCAGCATGTAAGACCAGGAAAAGACATAGTGAAAGTTACTAAATCTGAAAAGCTGACATTTCAGATGGCTCATATCCTAGTACAGTATTGTACAGAAAATCAATATAACCTAGTATTTAAAAGCCATGCGAAGAATTCAGTTATGCGGAACTACTCACTGACAGCCAAATGACCAGTGCCCCTGCCTCGCTACTTGTTTGTGAACCGTCTTGTCCAGAAGGTGTTTGTCTGTGCCATCTGTGAGATGCTCCGGTGACTCACTGTAACACGCTGCCTTCTCCGTTTTCTCCCCAAGGAGACGCGATGACGCCATCCAGGCCCACAGAGCCAGCTTTGTGGCCACGCCCACGGCAGAGCTGTCTAATCAGGAGGAGACGCTGCTGGGCGACATCCTGGACTGGAGCCTAGACACTTCCTGTTCCGGTTATGAGGGCGACCAGGAGGAGGAGAGCGAGGGAGAGAAAGATGGTGATTGTGAGTGATAAGTGGCTGGGCTCGTTTATTGTGCTGTCTCAAAGCTGTTCTCTTCTCCAGAGCATAGTTCTTTTCTCTAGAGCATAGGAAAAAAAAAAGTGTGTGTGTGTGTGTGTGTGTATGTATATGTATATATAAATAAAATAAGAATAATGCATGACTCAGTCGTCCAGTAAGAGATTATGCCATTAGAGATGACTCAGCAACTGCAATATTCAGCGTAATGAACCAGCACATACATTTAGGCCTCCATATTATGCAGGCTTACTGTCATGGACAAATGAAGATTGATGATGGTAGCTGCACAGAGTGTGTTGGGGTTTGCAGTTTGTGTAAACTTTGCTCAAAATTATTCACTGTTTTAAACTCTTGACGACTCCTCTCTTTCAATAGCTTCTATGATGTCCATCAAACTGCACCTGCTGACTGATGAAGACAAAAGACTAGAGCACTGCAGAGCCCTGTCCAGCGATGAGGACAGCTTCTGTGAAGCTGAAAGAGAGGGGGAAGGCCAGGAACCGCTTTCCTTCTCTACAGACCTTCACAGTTCAGGATACTCCTCCGTCCAAAGTGCCAGCCCCTCATCCACATGCTCCTCCTCCCTCATGCCTTGCACATTCAAGACAATTACCACTTCCCTGAGAGCAGCCTCCGCCAATGCCCAGCCAGGCTTCCGTCTTTTGGTGCCCATGCAGAGGCCCCGGGGCACCTCCAGCAGACAAGTGAAAAGGAAAAACTCGGCAGCTCATAGTGGAGGTGAGGTGGGAAGAGAAGAGGAGGAAGGCGGAGGAGACAATGCAGGGTTTCTGAGCCTATAGACGGGGGTTGTTCGACCAACCTGCTCAGTTATTGTCCTCCAGCAATTTGCTCTTGGTGCTGTTCCCCACTCCTGTCAGTCTGCACTGATCCATCAATTGCCAAAAGATCAAGAGACTTTGAGCTTGAGGAGAGTAAAGAAAAACATATATAAAAATGAGTTGCCTAAAAACTTGCCTTTCTTATTACATTACATTTCATTTACATGTTTACAGGCATGCCGCAATAAAATACCTCCCCTAAAACCAATAACTCGCTGTCAGCTCTGAAACCACTGGAACATCACTTTCCTCAGGACCCTGGTACCATTTCTGTTTTTACAGCCTTCTACAACAACCTCTCTCAGATCACGTTAGATAGTTGTAAACCTCATGAACTTGTTTTGGAAGGGGGGAAAAGTGTTCATTGTTAAGATCATATTGTGGGGAAAAACTTTAAACATAGCTGTGTTTTTATTGTCTTGGTTATCATAGTTTCTGATATGCACTGAGTCTACAAGAATCTCTTGTATTTGGTGAATGTCATCAATAGGTGACGGTCATCTAGTTGATGAAAAGGTCTGCATCTGAAGCCTGAAAAAATATGATTGTATGAATTCCTCATTCAGTTTTGTCCTTTAGTTCTCTGAATGTTTGCCAAAGGTACTGTGGCGATGACATTTGTGTTTTCAGGGGCATCTACTTAAATAGAAACAGCTGTGAAATTTTATTAGTCTATATCTTCTCATCTTGTACGTATCCACCAGTTGTGCTTATCAATATTACTTCAAACACCTATAGCACACCAATCCCCTCCAGGAACTGTTGAGATATTGACACTGTTCAATAAGGTGTGTTGATACTGACCAAGAACCACCATCTGGATGAGTATGGTACAAACCTCAGCTTATCATCCAGATGTGTAGTGCTCAAATATAACGAGGCAATCGATGCGCCATGAAACTCGTAACATCCTGATAGGTTGTACTTTACTCACTTTCCTTCCCACCTGAATTAGGTCTAGCACTTTCATGATCACAGAAGGAACACCGTTCATTGCAATGTGTCCATATTCATGCTTGAACAATCAATACTAAAGTATTTTTGAATGGATCTGTGTTGCCTCCTTAGAGCGATAGGGAAGTTTAGACACTAAAGGAAAAATATTACTTGATGGGGTTTTGGAAGTACTGTATGTATGCCTCATAGGACACTGAGTACACAATGTCTAAATGATTGTGACTGACTGTAAATACATTTTAAACTGTTACGCCAGACTGGTTATCTCCTGTGTGTTATAAATGTACATAGTACTATATGTATAAATGGAGAAAAACAAAGAACATGCCACTATTTTAAATTGTTTTTGCTTCATTCCAAAACGGCAGTTTTCTTTGTGAAACTTTTTTTTCTACAGTACAGTGTTTTCTCAATAGACCTGGGATGTCATTATGTTATTATGTAGTTCAACTAAAACAAGCCATCATGCAAGTTTTCTTTCGAGGATTTTTCATGTACACAGTTTAATTGATATTCGCTCAAAGGTTTTGTTCCCTGATTTCTTGAATCGATGGGCTTATTACAGAGTGCTGTATTGTTCTTAAGCTGTTTTTCTTGAAGTTGTGATGGAAATTTGATATTTTACTTTGTTTACGGTCATCAACAAAGTGAAGAATCATAATCAACTTAAAGAGAAAATAATTCACATATGGCAACAATAAATGGGCTAGCTGAAAGTCATTTGTAGACAGTATTGGTGTTTGGGCTAAGAGGGGAAAAAGTAAAGCTTAAGCTGTGTTTAAAAGCTCATCAAAACTAGGTGGCACTCTTAGGCAGGGCCATATGGTACCCATAGAAAAAATACTGAGGTCATGAATAGAAGTCCAACAACCAAACCCCACAAAAAAAGACTAGAAATTCAGAATTAGATGCTATATATATATTTTATAAAGGTTTTTTGTGAGTAGAGCCATCATTTGAGCCAAATTCAAGAACTGCTTATAAACTCACCAAAGCCTACTAAATGATTTAAAATACCTGTCTCTAAACTTTGTCTTTATAAGTAGAACTTGATTACAGTCATTTTGAGGTAGCTTTCTAGCAAATGATTTGGTTTTTAGGAGACTGGAAAATAAAGAAGTACCCTTTTATTTCCAGAGGTGGGTAGTAACGAGTTACATTTACTCCATTCCATGTACTCAAATAACTTTTTTCAGAGTAGTTTTAATGCATCATACTTTCACTTGAGTTGATTTTAAGAGAAAAATCATCACTTTTACTCTGCTACATTTGGATACATCCATCGCACCACTTGGCTACTTATTTATTATTTTTGCATTCATGTTCTGTTAAAAAGCAGTTGGTCAGTTGGGCAGTCCCAAGTCTGCTAGTGCTTTGTCCTACCACAGTCATGCAGCCACATGGCTCTCTACAGAGCAGAATAATGGTTGAAGCTACAGCATGGGAGTACGGCTTTCAAATAGTGCTAGCAGCTGATATTTATTGTCATAAAGATGTCTGTGTCTGTCACCATCTTTTAGTCCTCCAATGGCTTGTCCAACTGGTTCAGCATGTGGATGTCAACAACTTGTTTATTTTGTTGTTTTGTTATTATTATTTTTTTTAATCAGGAGATAATGAGTTGTCATTACGAATCACGAATGTGTTGGAAAATACTGGGTCTAAAAAATACTGGAATCAGCCTAAATCAATGTGTGAAATTTTCTTGAAATCTTTTCCCAGGTTTGCTTAAAGGCTCACATTTCCAGGAAAATTGCAGGGGAGAGGTCCACAGTTCCCTCAAGAAGTAGCTACAGGGGCACTCACTGATTTCACACAAGTTCACTTTACTTATAATGAGGAGTAGGCTACCGCTCACCCTTTGACAGCCAGTGGAGAAAAAAAGTTGTATAATGTCTTCTGCAGCTCTGGAGGTAGTTTTCTGAAGTCTAAGAAAATAACCCAGAGAATTCACATTTAACTAAAAAAAAAGGCTGCTTTACATTCTTGAGGTTATTTACCAAGCAGGGAGGCTAAATTGAAAGACACGATTGAGTTGCATTATGGGAATTGTGAGATCAAACCATTTTGAAAGCTTGATAATAGAGACTAAAGTCAGGATGTGTCAGCTGCATCGATTTTGAACATTCTTGTTTAAATCAGTCTCTTGCAAATCCGCCAGCTATCTATTGTACACCTTTATGAGAAACATAAGCAACATTACAAAAGGAAGCTTTTTTCCAGGATAAATGGGCTAGCATCTTATGAGCCAAAAGCATAGCATACTGTAGGTCTGCATCGTGTGTTTGTGATTCAGCTTGGAGATGAAAAAGTTTAATTTCAGAGCTCACACTATAATATTAAATATATAACTATTAATAAATACTAATTTATTATAATTATATTTATATTAATTGGTAAATATTCTTAAGAGCAACATATAAATGACTACAACACAGTAATGGCTGAAACAAAGTAGAGGGGCAGTAGTACTGCTAGCACTTGAAATTGTAATAATAAATAAATATGTTTAAAACTACAACACACAAATAATGCTGAATTTATTTGGTTTTCTAGCAACTGTGCCCAAACAGCCCAGCTGTTGAGATCACGTGACACACCGAGATCACGTGAGGCGTTTTGTTGACGGTTATCGCTGTATTTTTCACGATGCATTCACGGGCTTGTTATCCAGCGGCTGGTGCAATGTCATCGCCTCGCTAGAAAGCAGTAAACTGGATGGGGAAACCCTGGAGCGGGCAGCAGACATCCTTAGCTTCATTAATGCTAGCCGAGCCTCGACAGTGTCGTTGAAGGACGAAGGCCCGCAGGGATGGTTTTGTCATCGGTTTAAGACAAAAAGGAGGAATTGTTTTCCCAGAAAGAGGGACCACAGCTCGGGAAGTTCACATGCCGAAACCTGGTCTTTTATGAGGTAATTTGACATATTTGTGTCATAAAACACAACTAGGTCACATCGGTGGAGACATTTACTGATTAAGAGTGTGTAAAATGACATAATGTCGGTGAGTCAGCACATTGTATTTTGTAAATACCTAGCTTTCTCCGTCACCGCCATCATTAGCATTCATCAGAACCCTTAGGGATTGACGAGCAGGCCGTTTGTTCCAATCAGGATCACCGCAGCGCTCCGTTTGTCCAACCGGAGAAGAACATGGGCGGTTTTCACTCTATGAGGAAAAACCCTCACCTCAATAATGGCCCGTGTTCGTTTATTGTTTACTTGAAGATACTAATAGGGAAATGGTCGCTGTAAGTATGTAGCACATGGTCTTCTGAATTCAATTATACGGATTATACATTCATTAACCCCCTGATATATCATGAAAGGGGTGTAGCTACTCAGAGATGAATGGCACTAGTGTGGATATTCAAACGGCGCCAGCAAGACCAGTTTTATTACATTTCTAAACCCGTGTGCTGTGCTGTGAAATTGGACTCCCATAAGGCAAACCTGGCTGCTGTAGCTTTAACAGTTAATATTTACTGATCTGACAAATAGTCAGAAATAGTGCTAGCAGCTGATATTTATTGTCATAAATATGTCTGTGTCTGTCACCATCTTTTAGTCCTCCGTTGGCTTGTCCAAATGGTTCCGCATGTGAATGTCAACAACCTGTTTGTTTTGTTTAAAAAAAACTTTTTCTCATTTGCCTTTTATAAACTGAACTCCTTTGCAGACTGACATCACTTCTTTCGTTTTATGATACCAGATAGTTATTTCTCTTTCCCGGTCTTGTGACTTTGTGTGTGGTTTTTGAACATAACAAAAAATCATGGTAATCAAATTGTGATCCTGCTAAATCCCCAGTCACTTCTCTTTTTTTGTTTTCTGGAGTTATGGTTGAACAGAAACTGTGATCACTGCTTTTCAAAGCTGTTTTGAAAACACAACTAAGTTTCAAGAAACCTCCAGTTGTCAAACAGAGTAAATTGTACATTTAGCTCAAACCTGACACTAAAATCTTCTTTTCCACTGTAGAAGACTGACTGGACTGTGTTCTGTGTGCTGTTCAAAATGGCTGTCATGCGACAATTTGGACTACTGCTGTGGAAAAACTATCTTCAGCAGGTGAGTTGGAGGGAGGTGAATCTACACCCTGCATGTGTGTGTCCGTATTAGGTATTAACATTGTTTGCAGCTGTGAATTGTCAGAAGTAGTTGTGTTTACACAGCAGAGGCCCGTATGACAGTATTTATTAAGTTACAGGCTTATGGGGCATCATAAATACAATAAACTGTCTTAACATTTTGTTTTCTACAATGCATGATGTTAGCCAGCTACGTGGAAACTGGTCGACCCCAGTAATATACCAGCACTGTTGCTCTCTCACAAGCTCTAGCTAGGTCAGCACGTCGGTAACTGTCACATGCTTTTCCTAGCCTTACATGGCTATATTTTTTTGTACCTTTTTAAGTTATTTTATTACTTTATTTTATTTGTTGTGACATATATCAGGAGGCAGGGATCATTCCAATCAGATTTTCAAACACAAGCAAATACTGTATGTGCATAATAATACATACATAAAGTGAGAAGATTCAAAAAACAAAAGAAGCAATCAATAGAATAGAGAACAAATAAGACTAAGGAATTAAAATGAAAAAAAGATTTGTTGGGGTTAACAGTTATGAGCAATTTATGTATTATACATAAAATGTAGATATGCACACATGTAAATACATTTTCTGCTATTAGGTAATCACCTTCATATTTCCAATTTTTTTTTATCTACCTCAAATGTTGGTAAACATGTTATGCAGGTTACACACACCTTATCACAGCTCAGAATCTCCAAGAAGGACAAGGTGTCCTATTATTGAAGTTCAGTCGAGGCTTGTGCTATTGTGTTGTTCGTGGGAAAGTCATATCACCAGATTGAGGGTCTGTCTCCCCTTTATAGAAGATAACAAAGAATTTTTACACTAAACTGTGCTAGTGTATTGCTCTGATTGGCAGCTTACATAGTTTTCGAGGGTTAATATCAGTTGATGGTTGCTCAGTGCTGCCAGCAACTATTCAGAAAATGGGACTGGCTGTCGGCTGTATGGCATGCGTGGTGTGAGGTAGTTGCTCCATCACTCTTTATCCACTCGCTGTGGCTGTAGAGACCACAAAAACTCCATTAGGGCCAGGCAGGAAAAATACTGAACATCTTGGTGTTGCTTGTCCATCTTGTCTGCAGAAAATAAACGAAAAAACGCAGGATAATCACTTAAACTGTATAACCAAAGTATGGACATTGTTATTCAGACCTGTAAGAGCCTGCTGTAAAAACAGTGTTTGGCAAAGATCTTGTACTTCTGGGTTGTGCTGTTTTTTTGGTACTGTACTTATCCCCATCGACAGCTGGCCACATTTAGAAAATCAGGGGTCATGCTGACATATTTCCAGCTCAGCTACAGCAGATTTTGATTGCTGATGAGATTATAGTTCATTGCTCATTGTTTGCTACTCTGTAATTACTATTTATGCTATCAAATAGGCTTGTTCTTTGTTCTACAATAGCATTTAGCCTAATCAGAGCCAAATGAAAGATGTGTGAATTACATTGTGAATCAAGGAATATATCTGTTTTGCACATTACTAACCCCTATATAAGATGTTTTTAAATTTAATCATACAAAATATAGTTGAAATCTATTGAGCTACCCTTTTTATTTACTCAAATAAAATAAAAGCAGTAACACAGCAGTAATTGAAGAGGTTAATGACTCCTAGGTGATAGCCTATGTTTTACTAAATTAGATACTTGCTTAAGACAATTACCCCTTTTGTTATTTGGTGCCTCATTGAAGTGTTGTGTTGAGTTGGCAGTCCCTGGATGCCAGTCCTTGTCCCAGTGGCATCAGAGGCAGCGTGGCTGCTCTGTATCTCCTGGATACTGAGGCTGCAGCATAAGGCTGTAGCACACACACGCATACATAACAAAAACTCATTGTACAAGTTACAGTGGTGTCAGGACTTAAGCATGCATGCATGCTTGATAATTAATTTAAATTTTTTTATTAACAAATTGATCAAATATTATGGGATTAATATCCTGCCTTGATTCAAAACTGAAAATAAAGGTCTGAAAGTAAGTGTTTGAAAACTCAAAATCTTACAAATAAAAGTTTTGCAAGATCGAAAACTAAGATTTGCAAGCTTGCAAAAAAAATAAAAAATCTCTGCAAACATTGTTGTTTTTAAGTTTTCCTTCTTCAGAACAATTTTTCAGAGTTTCAAATTTGTCAGTGTTCTCCCAGCGTATTAGTTTGTTTTCCAGGTTTGAAACCTTGTAAATGGTGATCTGAAAACTGGTGTGTAAATGTGTGAAAAAAAGTTTTGAAACTCTGAAAATTGAGGTTCAAAAGGGCGAAACTTTATTACATTACATTACATTTGCACTTCTATTGCAGACTATTTTTTCAGAACCGAGTTTACCACACCCACTTACGCCTACACAGTTGCCAGCTTGCGACTCACGTGATTTGTGGCAGCGTTGTCACGCAGCTCTGCTCTGTAACTCTTAAACTCATGGTGCGTTCCAGTTGACATGGGAAGTCAGAATTTGCCGAGTTCAAAGGTCAAAATTTCAAAAGGGAACGCCCCCTTAAGTCGGAATCCCGACATGGGAAGTCGGGAGAACCGCACTACCCCGACTTCGTGATCCAAGATGGCTGTGGGGTATCAACAGTTAGTGAAAGCTGTAGTTTATACTGTTTATTAGCAGTTCTGTGTACTTGTGACTCATATAAATGTTCGTACACAAAGTGCTGTCCAACAGCTGTCTGTGGACGTGTTGCTACAGTGTTTATTGTGAGTAAATACACTAAATCAACCGGCGTATCAATAGCTAACCTGGCTAGTTGTAAACAAACAGCTAGCCAAGCGAGGTTTTCCGACTTGGAACGCCGTCAACTCGGGTGTGACGTCATTCCCAGCTCCGACCTCCGACTTCTGAGGTAAATGGAACGCAGCATCAGACTGAGCGAACTTTAAAAAAGGCCTGGAGTCAGGGCCTTCTGCTCTTGGCCAATGCTTGGCTGTCTGCTGAAGTACAGTCCAATCACAAGTCATATTTACTGGATAGAGGGATTGACAGACTGCTCCGCCAATGACAGACGCGGACAGGAAACGTGTTCAGGAAGCACCGCTCCCTGGACGGCCTGGCTGTCTCCGTCCAAGCGGTGCATGGATGTAGAGAAGAAATCTGCAATGGGTAGTAAGTAGCTCAGGGCGGTTTGTTCATCAGCGCGATGATGTTGTGTCGGGAGATGCAGTAATTGAACCAGCGGTGAGTAAGAAAGAGTATAAATAACATCCGCTAGCCTCTAGGCTAATTTATGCTGTGTAAAATGCAGGCTTAACTTACAGTAAACTATCAATGGAGACTATCAACCAGACAAATCTCGACAGTTATTAAGCCAAAATGTATGCTTTTGTTAAATGTGATTATTCTATTAAACCACGTTTTATGTGTGGTAGTGGAGTCATTTTAAAGTTGACTCTACTGTAGTTAACCAGTAACAACTATTTGTGTTGTTGTTGTTTTTTCTTTTATGGCCTAAAGCACTGAAGACAAGTGGTCATCACTCACAGGAGGACGAAAAGAAGGAGGAGGAGGAGGAGAGCAACAGAAAAAATTACTTAAAAACAGTAGAATAAATACCTTTTAATCCACCACACGTCTTGTTGTTTATGTGTAAATACAGAGGAAGCATGGGAGAACTGCACATAGTTCGTTGTTACTGTGTTATTAGAGCATGGGAGAACAGTGGATACTTTTAATACAGCCCACACTCATAATATTACTGTGTAGCTACAGAATAACAAGTGGAGAACAACACAACACCTGGAAAACAAACTAATACGCTGGGAGAACACTGACAAATTTGAAACTCTGAAAAGTTGTTCTGAAGAAGTAAAACTCAAAAACAACATAATGTTTGTAGAGATTTTTTTACATTTTGCTAGCTTGCAAATCTTAGTTTTTGATCTTGCAAAATTTGTTTTTTTTTTTTTAAGATTTTGAGTTTTCAAAAACTTAGTTTCAACCTTTCAGAACTTTATTTTCAGTTTTGAATCAAGGCAGGATATTAATCCCATAATATTTGATCAAAGTAAATGACACTGAAGCATTTAGCTATGCGTTGACAGGTTTTGGAGAAGGTCTGACATTGCCGCTAAGATTGATTGTAATGTCCTGAAACCATCCAAGTGACTTTGTACTCCAATCACTCAACAGGAGGAGGCTGTCACATAGATTATGCTTTGATTCAGCTGTCTGTGAAATTGTCTAGTTTCATTTCTGAATTGCGTGAAAAGGATAAATTTGTGCCAATACCTGACCTCTTTTAAGATTTATTTGTAGTTAGCATTTTCAAAGCATATTGAACACTTTGAAATGAATACGTTTTTGTAGTTAGTTGAGGTTAGTTTGCACAGTTTATTAATCTCAATACCTTTTCTGTCTGTGCTTGGTATTCATTAATAATTCATACCTTTTTAAAAAAATAAAAAAAAAAAAGATGACTGATTATCTCTATTCCTGCTCTCCAGAAACGTCAAATTTTGGTAACTCTGGTGGAGATACTCCTGCCTCTGCTCTTCTCCGGCATCCTCATTGTGCTACGTCAGAAGGTGCCTTTTAAAGATTTCCCAAATGCCACGGTCTATGAGAGCTACGGTGTAGATTCACTACCCAAGAGGTTCATGCAACACCTACAGCTGGCCTATGTGCCCGGTAACTCCAGTGTGGTACGTCAGGTGGCAGAGGATGTGCGAGGCAGCCTGGTCCTCTCCTCAGGTAGGTAGTAGTTTGGCAGGAAATGGGTGGCAGTACAGCAATGTAGGCTTGTTTAAAAAGCAACTCCAAATGCAAATCTCTGAAAAGCAGGGCATTTACCTTTAAAATAATTTCCATCTGCCTTTGGCCAATCAACAGCTAACACCGTTTGGCACTGAAGATTAGTCAGTGGCCATTTTTCAGTAACATTCAATACATACGTTCCACTAACGAACAAATTTGTTACGTTCCACTAACGAACAAATTTGTGTTTTTCATTCCTCTTCAATGTAATTTTAGCCATCTCGCAGCCTGCATTTTATGTTAAAGAAATTGTTTGACATTTTCGGTAATAAGCTTTTTTTGTTTTCTTCCCGAGAGCTAGGCGAGAAGATCTCGTTCTTTTGAAATCTGTTTAAAAACCGAAATGTAGAAAGACAATTTATAGTTTTACGTAGGGTAATGTGCTGAATAATGTCCCTCTGAAAAGATTCTCTCCTTTAACTTTTGGCATGAAAACCAATAAGTATATTTCTCAAAATGTCAAACATTTTTAAGATATCCATTCTCTGAATGTAATGCTTCATAAAACATTTTAAATTCAGATAGATATAATAAAGCGGTACATGGAAATAGTAAAAAGTAATAAAAATTGTATACAGCCAATCTCATGTTGAGGTTTATTGAAACAGAAAATAAGTTTTCTGGATATTTCTGACAGTCACATCACATTCTACAGCTATTTGAGGTACAATTTTGACTTGACACCAAGTGTAATTTGTGACAGAGCTTGGAATAATGGTTCCACTAGAAACAGGCCACACCCTTCTCTCCTGTTTCAGTTGGGAGTAAATAGGGAAAGAAAGAAAGCTCACACACTGTGGCATGTTAGTCTCCTCTCTCAGGACACCTAAACACCTGCCTCTTTTAATTCACACACTCACACACACTTCCAGCTGTTCAGATAAACATAAAGAGTCTGACTTGCAGTGTGCAGTCTGGCTGTTTACATATTTGTTTTTACGTTTACAGACCCTCAGCAAGATGGACAAATAGCAGCAGTGTGAGGCTGAATTCAGAGATGTAGCAGCATGTAGACAGATCTGTGTAGTTGCAGGTTGTCTTTCACACTGCCGTGTAAGATCCCAGCTCAGCCATTAATGAATAATTTAGCAGGTCTTGGTGTTCAGAGGAAAAAGGTGGAAGGGAATGATCAAGGCTGAATTTTAGTATGTCATGCACACAGAAGACCACCAGAATGTGACCTCAATGTTCAGACTAAAATAATGGATTCTGTTGAACAGATTCAGTTGACAGCAGTTAAAAAGCCCTGTGATATTTAGTCATGTCATAGTCATTCATATTTAAACAACACAAGGATTGTTGAACTGGGGCCACTAAAAAAGTTTTTTTATTGTAAAGATATTACTTGTTGAAACAGCTTGTATATGTGTTTACGAGTTGTGAAATAGTGAATTGTGAAATGAGATTTCCTCTATTGTGTAATCTCAATTATTTTTTTTGGTTTAAACAAAGTTAATTTGACTTCTCTTTTGTAGATACACTACATGCAAAATGGTTGAACACGTTATCAAAATCAAAGTTAAAATACTTTATTAAATCCTTTGCCTACAAGTATATAGCTAAACGAAATGTTGTTTCTTACGGACCATAAACAACTATTACATACAACAGATACAACAGACCGGAACTTCAGCCAAAGAGGTGTATCCAATGCAACAGTCCAGTCCAAATTACAGTACCAACAGTAAAAGCCTAGCTGTGATTCCTGTCCTCTCTCCTGCAATGTATAACTTTGTACTGGTGAAAGTGATATATGCCAAACAAAAAAAGTGCAGCCTCGTGCATTTTCAATCATTGTCATCAAAATCTTAGCCAAAGTGTACATCAGAAAATACTTACAGAGTACACTGTTATATTGACAAGATGGCTAAACATTTTGACTTGCTTGTTCATAAACAAGACACAAGGACTTGTCGTTCTTATGGCACTGACAAGTTCAATGACATAAAGTTTTGCTTTTGAGAGATAGACTAAGGATTTTGAGCAAGTTATGGGCTTTTGCAGTTAATCCACTGTGTTTTGCTGTTTGTACTACCTGTTTCAAGAAATGCACTTACTGTTTTGCAAATGTTAAGGATGATTCGAGAAATGCACCAAAGTGACTGAGAAAAACTGTAAGTTGCATCTTAAAAAATCAGTTTTTTAACCGCATTAATTTTAGCTTCAGTCCGCAGTTAGCGGCGTGCTTGACAGAATTTTAACATTGTGATTGAATGTTTCCTGTAGATTATTATTTCAACTAGTTATCTATTAATTTATTATTTCCTCAACTGGTATTCATTACCTTTAGCTAACTATTTGAACATATATATATTAATTTTAGCTTATTATTTAAATTTTTTTTATTTTTTTTTTCCCCCCCACTAGTTGAACCATATCCATTAGTTACTTGGCTAACTATTTAAAATGCTCACTCTTTAATTTTAATGAACTATTTCAGATGTTTATAAATGACTTGAATCCTTTTATCTAACCATTTAAACCATATACAGTGAGGAAAATAAGTATTTGAACACCCTGCTATTTTGCAAGTTCTCCCACTTAGAAATCTTGGAGGGGTCTGAAATTGTCATCGTAGGTGCATGTCCACTGTGAGAGACATATCTTAAAAAAAAAAAAAAATCCAGAAATCACAATGTATGATTTTTTAACTATTTGTATGATACAGCTGCAAATAAGTATTTGAACACCTGAGAAAATCAATGTTAATATTTGGTACAGTAGCCTTTGTTTGCAATTACAGAGGTCAAATGTTTCCTGTAGTTTTTCACCAGGTTTGCACACACTGCAGGAGGGATTTTGGCCCACTCCTCCACACAGATCTTCTCTAGATCAGTCAGGTTTCTGGGCTGTCGCTGAGAAACACGGAGTTTGAGCTCCCTACAAAGATTCTCTATTGAGTTTAGGTCTGGAGACTGGCTAGGCCACGCCAGAACCTTGATATGCTTCTTACAGAGCCACTCCTTGGTTATCCTGGCTGTGTGCTTCGGGTCATTGTCATGTTGGAAGACCCGGCCTCGACCAATCTTCAACCAACAGTAACCTTGGAAACGGTGGTCCCAGCTCTTTTCAGGTCATTGACCAGCTCCTCCCGTGTAGTTCTGGGCTGATTTCTCACCTTTCTTAGGATCACTGAGACCCCACGAGGTGAGATCTTGCATGGAGCCCCAGTCCGAGGGAGATTGACAGTCATGTTTAGCTTCTTCCATTTTCTAATGATTGCTCCAACAGTGGACCTTTTTTCACCAAGCTGCTTGGCAATTTCCCCGTAGCCCTTTCCAGCCTTGTGGAGGTGTACAATTTTGTCTCTAGTGTCTTTGGACAGCTCTTTGGTCTTGGCCATGTTAGTAGTTGGATTCTTACTGATTGTATGGGGTGGACAGGTGTCTTTATGCAGCTAACGACCTCAAACAGGTGCAACTAATTTAGGATAATAAATGGAGTGGAGGTGGACATTTTGAAGGCAGACTAACAGGTCTTTGAGAGTCAGAATTCCAGCTGATAGACAGGTGTTCAAATACTTATTTGCAGCTGTATCATACAAATAAATAGTTAAAAAATCATACATTGTGATTTCTGGATTTTTTTTTTTTTAGATTATGTCTCTCACAGTGGAGCAACTTAGACTGCACCGTAAACCTAAAAGTGGGGAAGGAATAAAGTCATATACTAGTGAGTCTCAAGGTCAGCAGTATTCCAATGACTTTATTATAATGTTGTACCATGCACCTACGATGACAATTTCAGACCCCTCCATGATTTCTAAGTGGGAGAACTTGCAAAATAGCAGGGTGTTCAAATACTTATTTTCCTCACTGTATACATTCATTTTAGCTAACTCTTGTAATGTATGCTGCTAACTAGTATTCATGCAATTGCAGCATGTGGCTTTAGGGTTTTACAACTGACTCAGGTTGGTGGAAGGTTTGTGCCGTCAGCGTGGCTAACTTAGTGGTATTAAATGCATTTTAAGATCCACATCACTCCAATTTGTAATTCAATGTTTACTTTTTTCCTCACCACAAAAATGTTTGTATAAATTTGTAGTTTTTCAAATTAGTTTAGCCATTCCACAATCTTTCCATGTACCTTCTCATGGCAACTGCAGAAGTAATCTCTGGAACAAGTACCCCTGGTTGGAAATTGCTGCGTTAAACTACTAGTGTTCAAGAAAAGCAGCTAAAATAAAGAGCAGTGTGAGGAGTGCATGTTTGAACCAGTGTATTTGGCAGCTGGTTGTATTTGACCTATTTCCCTCTGTGTGTCTCCATGCAAATGTTTATTTTATGAGACTGACCCAGATTTAACTTTGGGTCCACTGTGCTATACTGATGTCCTTTGCCAGATTTAGAATTCCTTCATGTGTGCTTGAGTAGTAGGGGGAAAAAAGCGGCATTGAGAAATCCAATTCTGGAAAAGAAATTTAAACAAAAGTGATAAGAAAACCAAACATGTTTTATCTTTTATTGTCCTACTCTGTTTTCATTCGGTTCTATTTAGACTACTTGGTTTTTTTCAAGCTGTCTATGGTCATGTTATCACGTCTTTTGTTGGTTTCAGTTTCACATGTATCTCTTCCCTGTTTGTGTGATGTATCATATGTGTCAAAGAAAGCATGTTTGTGGGCATATTCAAGTGTACTTTTTTACCCCTTTGGGTTTTTATGTTGTAATGATTGGCCCTAGAAATCAGTATGCTGACAGCGTCTAGCCCAACTTCTTGGCTGTCAGTGAGAGCAGCGAACACCAAGGTCAGGCAATGAGACGGGCATGAAAACAGATGTATGTGAGATGAATACCACATCACATGTAATGGTGTGTGTGTGTGTGTGTGTGTGTGTGTGTGTGTGTCTCCAGTGCGTGGCTTTGAGACCGAGGAGCATTTTGAGGACTATGTGAAAAATGACCCTCTGTCAGGAAAGCTGCTGGCTGCTGTGGTCTTTGAGCACCCCTTCACCCATGATGATGAACCTCTGCCTGTAAAGGTAAAAGGCAGCAAACATAAACACTGTAGCAGGTAGATGGTCAATTGTTGCGCCTCAGGAGTAGGATGCAACTGCAGTGGATTGTTTTGCTGTCTGGTAATTGTATCCGAGACACTGCAGAGTCGAGCCACAACATTAGAATGCAACATGTACATTCAGCTTTTCTGTATTTTAACAGAAGCACAATTACTTAAGAGAGGTGTAAAATATGTAACACTGTAAAATAATGTTTTACTGATCTCAGTAAAGGGAGGAATGAATACATTTGTAGTATGCGTTACCAGTAATACTGGTTCAGGCACTTTGTTCTACTGTCTGAAACCATGTTTGTTAACTTTAAGGATATATATAGTTGTTTCACAACAACAAGAGGCCCAAAATGTGTCATGTGAAAAGCCTAAAACAGACAATGATGTATTTAATTTGCCAAAACACACTGTAACCCTTTGATTCAGTGCATAGTGTAAGCTTATTTATTGCTTAGTTGATTAATTCACTCTATAACAAACTAAATGAGGTTTTGACTCAAGCCTAGTTAACAGAGAGTCCCTCTCATATACAGGTGAGCTACCACCTGCGTTTCACCTTCACCCCACGCAACGCCCCACCAAAAGAGAGGTCAGAGCTGAACCCGAATAATGACCTGGACTGGCACACGCTCAGCCTCTATCCCCTGTTTCAACTGCCGGGGCCGAGGGAGCAGTATGACAAGGAGGGGGGCACGCCTGGTGAGAATCCCAATTTCTTTCCTTGTCTTTGTGTACTTTGTCTGTCTCTCCCAGTTTTTCTTTCTCAAACCAAAAACATCCTGTCTGCTGCGACACTGCTAAACCTTAACGAGAACAAGGCCGCTCATCCAAAAACAAATTTTTAAACACGTCTCATTTCTTAGAGAAGCTATTCAGATTTACAGAACTCCTTCAAAAAACCGAGAGATTATAATTGATGAAAAGTACTTATTTTCCACAGGCGCAGGAGCGAGAGCCGTCTCTTCAGGCTTTGTTTCCATGGTAACCGCGGCCCTACACATCTTTGGCATGATCTGTGTTATCTAGTTTTGGCACTGTCAGGACGCATTGTGCTCCCTTGTTGGGCATTCGCGAGGTGTCAGGCACTGTTCAGGAGGCATCAAAACCTCTTAGCTTTATCTTCACGTTTGTCCATCTGTTTGTTTTATTTGTCAAGTTTAAAGGAGTTGATGATGATGAAATGGGGATTAGTTAGACACCGTTCGGCTGTCACCCACCCAGACCCCTTTTTCATAATGAAGTACCAAAAAGAGGCATGCTCCAAAAGATGAAGTCATCCTTAGAGCATAATTGGACCCAGATTAATGCTGATATAATGGTGGTTATTATTAATATCTCTTTTCTCTTTTCAGGTTATTACCGAGAGGGTTTCCTGGCCGTACAGCATGCAGTGGACCGAGCCATCATGCGCTCCTACAACAGAACTGCTGCTACCTCTCTGCTGCGACAGTTAAGAGTGGTCCTGTCACGGTTTCCTTACCCTGCCTTTATATATGACGTCTTCATCCTGGCCATTCAGAACCAACTGCCTCTACTACTGGTGCTCAGCTTTACCTACACCTCCCTCAACATCGTACGGGCCGTGGTGCAGGAGAAGGAGAGGAAGCTCAAGGTGGGTTTGTCTGTCTCTATTTGGGCTGTTGTTCTTGGAGCTGAAATGACTTAGGCTACGTTCAGACTGCAGGCCTTAATGCTCAATTCAGATTTTTTTTGTTTGACAGTTCACATTATAATTTATATGTGGCCCATATCAGACTCCAGTGTGAACTGTCCGCATCCTGAAAGTGACCTGCATGCGCAGAAGAATAACACGACGATGCTGTTGCAGGTTACAGAAGTAAACGAGGAGCACCATAGCTTCGGTTAGCTCGTGGGAGACTCCCGTTCATTGTCCTCTCATGGGTCACATTTCTCCCGAATTATGACAAGTGTTGACAACTTTCTGTTCGTTTGATTACGGTTTCTGGCACTGGACAAAACATCTGCCCCACAACTCACTCCCTCGGTCTCTCTCTCTCTCTCTCCCCACACTGTGTCCGCTCAGACAAGTAGCATGCACGTAACTCAGAAGAGAGCCCCAGTCCGGTGGATTTTAAGTATAAGAAAGGGAATTTGTGAGCAGATGATAGCGAGGTAGAGAAGGAAGAGAGCCACATGTTTAATTATGGCTTTATGTGGAGCTTTTTCGTTCATAGCGCATGTCTACAGCAGAACAGCTGCTCTACAGTGACGTCAAAGTCGCATCAAATGAGACCTGAGTGTCCAGACTGAGGTCGCATTTAAAAAGATCCGATCTGTATTGGATTTGGACCACATATGGAAGTGGCCCAATTCCGAACTGGAAAAGATCAGATTCCATGTCACTTGGCCTGTTCACACTGTCATAAAAAGATCAGATCTGAGTCACATATGGGCAAATAAATCGGATTTGGGTCACATTAGCTTGCAGTCTGAACGTAGCCTAACTTAACTGAACAGCTGATCCTTAATCTCTACCTTTTCTTGTGCATTTCAGGAGTACATGAGGATGATGGGTCTCAGCAACTGGCTCCACTGGAGCGCCTGGTTCCTCATGTTCTTTCTCTTCCTGTCCATTTCAGTCTTTTTTGTCACTCTGCTCCTCTGTATCCAGGTGAGTTTACGTTACAAAGCTTTGTTACCTAAGCTACAGTCCAGCGCGTAATGGCTTCACCACATATCTAACCAGTTTCTTAGATAAACAAAAGGTAATGCAGTGTCATTATCTATAGTAGAAAAACCTGCAGTATGAGTTTATTTAGCGCACAAATATGTAGCTAAGTTGCAGCTCTCACAGTAATACTTAAGTGTGACCAAAGTCCTTTTAGGCAAGTCCTGCTACGCTTCCAGGCAGCTATTTTGGACTAACAAGACCAGGCTCCTATCTAAATGAATGGGGAGAGAGCCAGAACTGCACTTTTACTGGTCACCGGAACATAAAAACTACATGAATAGAATCAGAATTAAAATCTGATAAAAATCGCTGAAAGAGTTTGACAACTTTGACCCAAAATAAGGTTTAAAAAGCGTTTTTCCCGACCGGTTATACTTCTACTACGCATGCATCACAACTTCCGCGCATGCGTAGTAAAGGTAAAACAGACCCTTACGTTAGTGCAGTTACCAAAGCTTAAAGTCATTATCACAACCTTTGAGGTGAAGGAATTAATTTATTATTCCTTTAGAGGCTATAAATGTGCCTCATGCACATAACTGATTACTTGAACTATCTGTTTTTCAACTGTTGTTTTAGGTGAGCCCTTATGGAGCAGTGCTGACCAACAGCGACCCCACGCTGATCTTTGTCTTCCTGCTCCTCTTCACTGTGGCTACCATCAACTTCAGCTTCATGATCAGTACCTTCTTCTCACGTGGTGTGTGTTTTGTGTGTGTGCGTGTGTGCGTGTCCACTCTTTTCTGAGTCATAATCATCAATAGTCAGTCTCTTGCTTTGTACTGTACAGTTTGTGTGGTTAGATGCCCTTAACACGACACTCTCCTGTTACATTGTGCTGAAATGTACAGTGGGTGCAACGCTGTTATCTCTCGGATGTAGGTCACAGTAGCCATGTTTCCATCAACGTTTTTTTATGTGCATTATGAAATATCGCATTAGAAAAGGTTGATGGATTCGGCAAAATTTGAAAAAAAAAATCGTATTCACAAATTTTACAAAAAAGTTTTTATGCTCGCTTCAGGTGGTTTTTGCCTTTGTTGAAAAACTGTTAATGCACCAAATGGGAGATGGAAACACTTTTGCCAAATACGTTCTGACGTAGCAAACTTGTCACGTCTGATCAGCTGTGTCCGCTGTTGGCATCTTGCCGGATATTCCCATAGCATTCGGAGACGTGGCTGGTAGCAACTTGCTCACTTGAAACACATTCCTGAGGACCCCTTTCCATTTTTCAAAGCTCAATGGCCATCAGTTCCATGAGGCTGGTTTTGTTTCTGGTTTGGAAGGCATACATCTTGTTTATTACAGCCATGTGTAACGTCAACTACTGACCTAACTACAGCAGCCGTAGCCTGGTTTATTCGCTTCAAACCAGCTGATGGAAACGCACATATTTCGCACTAATTATTTTTAATCAGTTTTTTGCGACATTTCAAAAGTCCGTTTAACATTCGCATGACAATTAGATGGAAACATGTCCTCCTCTTAGTTGGTCCAAAGCATAAAAGTAGCAGTAAATTGCACATGAGCTATAAAAAACATGTTTAAACTATACAGAGATCTGAACAACTGTTATGTTGACTAGACATAGTAAAACTCATTATATTCACATGACAGTATTATTGGATCAACTATGAGAGTGTATATATTCAAGTCATGTAAATACTGACTTAATAAATGTTTTTAGGCTGCTGGTGTATTTGCGTTGCTTTTTCTTGGCGAAGAGAAATGTTTTGTTCACTGAGCTTCTGTCTTCAGCCACGTGAAATTCAAGCACCCCGTTCAGCCTCAACAACACAGACTAAAAGAAAACTATTTAAATCTCTCCTTTTTCATGTTCCTTTTCCCCTCTCACTCTCACTCATTCAGAGCTTTTCATTCAGACCAACATCCGTCTCCTTCCAACTTTGCCCAACAAAACAGCTCAGGTTGCAAGTGCTCATCGGCCTCAGTTTTATGCAGCCTTTTGCAAAGCAGTTGCACACAAGTACTTATTTGCCAGCCATGCTGTTGTTTATATTATCCTTTGTTTTGTTTTTTCTATTACTACTACAATCAATAAGAAACATGAATTGATTATAGCTGGTTATGATTAGGCCTTAAAAGCCTTTTCTCCACTGGGGCAGAGTTGAAGAGAAAAGTTACTTAGAAGCCTCCATTTTGTTGGTTTACTCTGTCGTGTTGAATTTCTCTTTCCAAATCATCATTTTGTATATCTAACTCGGTAGTATAATGTGCTCTGTCACCTGTCCAGACAGTTTCCCTATTTCGCTTTGACAAAATGAGGCACGGTACCATGTGTCATTTTATCATTTTAAAAAAAATGTGATTTTTGACAGCCTGACTAAAGTCATTGAGACATTGTACATGCATAGAAACTTGCTAAATCACGAAGATCATTACATAAGGAACCCTAAATAGGTTCAAGGGTTTTGCTTATAAATTATGATTTGTCAATGGAAGAGGAAAGAGGCTGCAATGAGGGGCTTTTACAGAAAATAGGCCAACAGGGAGTGTCGTGCAGTGCCCTCATTGGCCATTTTTGAACAAAGACGGACTATTTTTCCATCTTGGCTGTGTGAGCAGCTGTCTTGATACTCCCCCACTCCCACCCACTGATTTTTAGGAATAGATTGTGGCACTTAAATATCACATGGTGTGCCACAAGTGCTCTTTTGAGAGGTTTTGCTCAGAAAAAGGACCCCTGAAAGTCTTTAATTCACATCATCCATGGTACTCAGCCCCCATTTCTCATTTGTCCTCCTTAATGCTTCATCTGAACAACACTCACAGACTCTGTCAATTCGGGAAATGGATTTCGCATCAAAAGTGGTTCTCTTCACATATCAATTCACTGGTTCGCTCCTACTTTGGTCTGCAAATGCGTGTGTGTGTGTGTGAGGTTGTCTAGTGGTACAGCAGCGTTCTTCTGTAACTGTGGAAACAGAGTGACAAGAGCTGTGATTGTACTGTTCAGTGCACATCTCTTTCTTTTTTGTCTAACTTAAGCTAACGTGGCGGCAGCAGCGGGTGGCTTCATCTATTTCCTGAGCTACCTGCCTTATTTGTTCCTGTGGCCACGCTACGACTTACTGACCAAAGCCCAGAAAGTGTCAGCCTGCCTCATCTCCAATGTGGCCATGGCCATGGGTGCTCAGCTCATGGGAATGTTTGAAGGCAAAGGTGAGACCTGAGATTAAGTTCAAAGTGAATTTTGTCTGGACTTTGGACTATCTTGGCTGTATTAGGAAGTTAGGCTCAATTTGTCTGTTTAGTTCCTTTTTAAAAACCTTTTATTTTTTTTTTTCACTGTAGGCACAGGGATCCAGTGGTCAAACCTGTTTGACTCTGTGACTGTGGACGATGACTTCTGCCTGGGCCATGTGTTGGGCTTGCTGCTGTTTGACTCTGTGCTCTATGGGTTGGTGGCCTGGTACATGGAGGCAGTTTTTCCTGGGGAGTATGGGGTGCCTCGACCGTCTTACTTCTTTGTATTGGTATGCTTCAAATAAGCGGCTCACACTTTCACGTGCACACACAAACACAAAGATGTACATAAAATTTCTGTTGTCTCTGCAGCAGTATCAGTTAGTAATATAAACTTAAAAGAAGTAAATCAAAGAGACGAAGAAGAGGAAGCTGTGTGCAAACAGTGATGCTTGTTACATTTCAAACTGTGTGTGCTTATAATTAATATTTTTTTAATTTACGTCTTGTGGGATTGAATATTTTGTGTAAACTAGAAATAAAATTACATTTTCTTATACAGCATTATCAGAGTTTGGTCTAGAAACCTGATGAAAAGCTATGTACCTTTTGGATTTCCAAATTGTTCTTACTGGTATTTATCCTTCTTTAAGAAACTTTGTTATCAACTGGTGAATTATTTTTCCTAATCAAACCAAAAAAAGTCTGATAAAAGCATTCTGTGAGTGATATCTGTGCAGCTATTCATAATCTGATGGAGTAACCATGGGTAAAAGAGGTCACACAAGGTATGTGGCAATAGCAAACAAAGACAGAATTAATAGATAAGGATACAGACAGTTGCTTTGTTTCAAGAGGCAGACACATTTACCTAAATAAGGGATATGATACTTGCACTAATAGAAGTGCAGTAAAACGTATGTGACCCGTCACCAGCTTCCCACCTGTAAGCACTGCTAACTGTTTGTTGAAAGGCATGAACAAGCCTGATCTGTCTCTACCAGGAATTGCACTAGGGTGTGACAAGGCTTTTTATACTGTGGTTTGGAAGTAAACACAGATTATAATGTCAACAAATGCTGGGTGGTGTTCAACATTTTCAGCACCTCAGGTAGTTGTAAGGTCAAAGTCAAGGTATCCTGCAAGAGAAATATTGCCTTGGATTAAAGAAATTGTTGCACTCAGTGAAAGTGGCTCTGATATAGTGACAGTGGAGGGGATTGAAAAAGTTAGGTCACAAGATATCGGTCAGAGGAAGTGTTTGGGTCCAGCTACCCAGAATAACAGGAAGCGTCTGAGTCTGTCCAGCCAACACAAACAAGGTTTATCTTTATAACAACTATGGCCGATCACGAAATGGCGTGCCTTTACACACACACAAAAATAAACTCATGCTAACCCATTTCCCAGTAGTTGGGAATTCAAGGGACTGCCAGCAGGGTGTGGATCAGATGTTGACGCAGTTTATGTCCATTGTGTGGCTGTGAGATGCTGTTTCTAATTGCAGATTTGACTGTTAGAAGTGCACCAGAGGGAAGTGTGGTCAGGAAACAGTCCCCTCTGATTTGTGTTGTAAAACAGTGTACATGAACAATGTTAATGTGCTCTCTCTCTCTCTCTCTCTCTCTCTCTCTCTCTCTCTCTCTCTCTCTCTCTCTCTCTCTCTCTCTCTCTCTCTCTCTCTGACTTTTATGCTGTAAAATATCGTAGAAAGCTTTTTTAACTGAGGCCACTTTCACCCTACTGCAGTTCCTGTTTGTCCCTCACTTTCTCTCAACCCCCTTATCTGCAGCCTTCATACTGGTGCAGCAGTCCTCGCATGGCTTTGGTGAATGAGAAAGAGGAAGAGGAGGATGCAGAAAAGGCTCTGAAGGGGGAGTTTATAGAAGAGGAGCCAGCTGGTCTAGTCTCCGGGATCAAGATTAAACACCTTGCTAAGGTGAGCAGCAAAACAGATACTCTGACCCACAGGGTCAACATGTCCACTGACTGTTATGTGCGAATGGTGAAAGTTTCCCAGAGAAAACGTGGTAAAAGAGCAACAACATTACTCTGCCCCCATACCTTTCTTGCTCAGGTAATGCATATAAATCTTCTATAAATATATCTATATCTATAAATCTTTGGATTTATCTCTCAACAGGAATTCAGAGTGGGCAACCAGACACGGCAGGCTGTGCGGGATCTCACGCTGAACATGTTCGAGGGACAGATCACTGTGCTGCTTGGACACAACGGTGCTGGGAAGACCACGACACTGTCCATGCTGACAGGTGACCAGCCTAAACACACACACATGCAATCAAACATAGATGCCACCTAAATAATCTCATCTGATTGCTTTTGTGCTTGTGTATCCAGGGCTGTTTCCCCCCACCAGCGGCAGGGCCTATATCAACGGCTACGACATCTGTCAGGACATGGCACTGATACGCCGCAGTCTGGGACTCTGTCCCCAGCACGACGTACTATTTGATAACCTTACTGTCAGAGAGCACCTGCTCTTCTATGCACAGGTATTCACACAATCATGCATTTATACACAAAAACACACACTCACAGACATGCACTGAAAAATCCTCTTCAGCTGAATCTTAGTTTATTGTTCTCCCACCACTGCATTATTGATCGAGATGTTGATTGAAAGTGGTACACCTGTAAAATATAATGTAATCCAGTACAGCAACTCTGGAATATTTTATAATGGCCAGTTTTTGTTGAAACTTTCCAAGAGGTGTTAAACTTAAGGAAGTCATCCACTCTAAGAACTAGATGGGTCGAGACACGTTCTGTCAGGCTTGCCGCAGCTCTCCGCTGACATCAATGTGAAATTTATGCTGGGAGTTTGCTTTATTTGGTATATTTATCTGCTTGATATCCAGTTGAAAGGCTACTCCACAGACAAGATTCCAGATGAGGTAGACCGTATCATCCGTATCCTGAACCTTGAGGACAAGCGACAGGCTCGCTCCAAGACCCTCTCTGGTGGCATGAAGAGAAAACTCTCTATTGGCATCGCCCTCATTGGAGACTCCAAGGTGAAGACTTTCATGAGCTTCATTCGCTCTCCTCCCTTTTGTCCCATCCTTCCGCCACATTAACCACATCTCATCTCTTCCCTACCATTGTCTGTCTCCAGGTGGTGATGTTAGATGAGCCCACATCAGGTATGGACCCGTCAGCTCGTCGTGCCACCTGGGACCTTCTGCAAGGGGAGAAGCACGGTCGCACCATCCTGCTCACCACACACTTTATGGACGAGGCCGACCTGCTCGGTGACCGCATCACCATCATGGCAGGAGGAGAGCTGCAGTGCTGCGGGTCACCACTGTTCCTTAAGAATAAGTATGGTAAGTGACGAGTGGAGTGGAAATAAAGAGTGGCATTGACAAGATATCACTCTCAGGGCCGCCAAATATGTAGTACAGTTGTTACAAGACTTGATTGTTACAATTAGTTATATAAGCCTTTGTTCCTTTCCTCTGCTCACCAGGTGCTGGCTACCACATGGTGATAGTCAAGGATGCTCTTTGTAACGTGTCCGAGATCACCCGCCTTGTCCACATGTATGTTCCTAATGCCACACTGGAGAGCAGTGCTGGGGCCGAGCTCTCCTACATCTTGCCCAAAGAAAGCACCAGCAGGTGAGTCAGTCACGTCTTTGTTCATACGTAGAATACTCTCAATGACACAGTGGAAAGTGTCTTTAAGGGGAGAAAACCATTAACAAGAACACCTGCAGAACTAAATGATAAACTGGGCCAATAGACCAGAGAATGTCTCAAAATGGATCAATACATTTATAAAATGCCTCACATCATTACATTGCCCAACCTACACTAACACTGAGTATATGATTATAATAAATACAGTAAACGTATGGCTCTTTCTCTCTTTGGCTCTGCGCGTCAAACTCTTTCTTCTTAGAGCAATTAGAGCAATCCACAAAAACTGGAATCGGTCTGATAAACACACTGAAATTGTTCATTTCTTATTTTACCATGACCTTTCAGTTTCTTCCCTTCAGGTTATATTTTCCTTTTCGGCCATCTCTCCGTTACATCGTTTTATGCTCTTCACACACACATAAATTGGGCTTTGAGTCCACTGTGGCACTTACTACTGCTCTATGATTAGATTTAAAGCAGAACTTATGGTACACTTATTAAGAGCTCATATTGTAATATTGAGTGATAGCATTTGTCCCACTCTGATGTAGCATGTAATCTGTTTCCCTGGTGCACTTTGTGTTTTCTCTCAGGTTTGAGCTGCTGTTTGCTGAGCTGGAGATGAACAGAGAAGAGTTGGGCATCGCCAGCTACGGCGCTTCAGTAACCACAATGGAAGAGGTTTTCCTCAGGTATGCGAAATATGACATGGGCGAATATGAGTCTTTCTAATTTCCTGAATCAGCAGGATCTGACTCAAGGAGTAACTCTCCTATTGCCAGACAAATTTTGAGTTAAGCAGCACTTTTAGCCAATGTACTTACTCAAATCACTGTAAGATACAAGATGATAATTTTAATGCAAAACAACGTGGGTTTCACACTATTTGAATTAAAAAAATGTCAATGTTATAGTGGAATTTATGGGGGTTAAACCAAACCTCATTGTAAATTGTAATTTTTTTCCAACCTGGCTGATATGTTCACGTTCTCTCCTTTGCTCACACATCTCAGTCCCAGCCAACTGCTGCTTATTGAGCCATTATTTATGCTTCCCCGTGGACTGCATCTGTGGCAACGAGCACGAGAGTGCTTCCACTGCGGACCACTGTATGCTACTTCAACTAGCACAAGTGTATGACATTGTAATTGGGCCTGCCAAGCATGTTTGTCTCACAGGCCTCATTATTTATTAGTCATACTGAGAGTCGGCGTGTTATGGCCATAAACGCTACACACCAAACATCAAACGTGACACAAAGACAAGCTGCTGTTTGAACATTTGGTCATTTAGCTCCCTTCTGGTGTTCAGTATTTTGTAGCCAATTAAAACGACTTGTCTGTTAGAGTAAGACTACGACCATTGACTCTTTTTAAATTAAACTTTCATTAAAAATTGAATACTGTAAAATTATCTTTTCCAGACATCTAGAACATCTCATGACCAAATGTTTTACAGGAGATTATGTTGTAGTTTCGTCATGTTTACTGACACAGAGCTCAAATATATAAATAGATAGCTTGAAAACATAGTTCGAATTTTTTCTAAAATCTTATTTTCTTGGATTGTTGATAAGTTTGTTATTCAATTCCATGGGTAAGTGGTGTAGAAAGGATAGACTGATGGACTTGTCGGAAGATGTAACTAGGCTCACAAAGGCACAAAGGGTGTCTAATATAGTTGGATGTGCCCTCCTGTGTAGGTGCCTCGGTTGGATGATAATTGAATTGTAAAGCCCACAAATAGCTTTATTTGCAAGCAGCCCTGCTTTTCTTTACCTTAGTGCGCTACTGAAAGGAAGGAAAAATGAGAGTGGATGGATTTTCACAGCCAGTGACTCTCCTCGCATTAAAGAAGCCCTGTTGTTTTTTTATGTGTGCATTTTGGAGATTTTTTTGCTTCATTTAATGTAAAACATGACATTTTATAAACTATATTTGAGTTTTGTGCTTTACTGTAATTTCAGCAAGGATTTTGAAAGTAGCGATAATTAATTTTTTCTGGTATTTTTTACTTTATTGAATAGACAGACTCCCTTGGTAGTCTGACAAAACTGAAGACTTCATATTTAAAGCACCTTTTGTTCCTGGTTTCAGTGAGTTGGTGGATAACCACAGATTCATTTGTGTGTTCAGAGTGGGAAAGTTGGTGGATTCTAGTTTGGACATCCAGGCAATCCAGCTGCCAGCCCTGCAGTACCAACATGAGAGACGCTCCCATGACTGGACCACAGATGACGCCAGCAGCATCAGCGGCATGACCGATGTCACCGACTTCACAGACAGCGGCACACTCATCTCAGAGGACTGCTCCAACATCAAGCTGAACACCGGGGTGAGATGTGAAGAAGCACAGAAATGCTTGTCATGTTTCCTGCAAAACATATTGCTCACATTTCAGTCCCCCTGTACTCTCCTGTCAGGTCAGACTACACCTGCAACAGTTCTATGCCATGTTCCTGAAGAGGGCGTTGTACAGCTGGAGAAACTGGAAGGTGATGGTGGCGCAGTTCCTGGTCCCTTTGGTCTTCACTGTTGTGGCCTTAGTTGTGGCACGCACCTTTCCCAATCACAAGGAGTCTCCCCAGCTGAGGCTGGCACTCAGCCGCTATGGTCCAACCAGGGTCCCTGTGGCTCTGCAGCCCATGGCGGGTCCCCTGGCCTCTGCCTTGGCCAACACATACAGTTCACAGCTCCCTGCCCAGCTAGGCCAGCTCGTCAACATCACAGGTAAACAGAGGGAGAGAGAGAGACTTGGTTTGACTGCTTAGATGAATATTTGCTGACCATATGTGCCTTTTCTCCTGCTGCCCATCAGACTTTACTGATTACATCCTGACTCAGGCAGAGGAAGAAGGCGGCAGCTTTAATGAGCGCTGCGTCGTTGGTGCTGCTTTCCGTGGCAGCAGCAGCCAGTATGCAGAAGCGACGGCCTACTTCAACAACGAGGGCTACCATACACCCGCCACAGCCCTCATGATGATGGACAATGCTCTGTTCAAACTTCTAGCAGGGCCAAATGCTTCCATCCAGACGAGCAATTACCCCATGCCACGCAACCTGTCTGAGATCGCCCAGAGCCAGCTCACAGAGTGAGTGGAGGGAAGGAAGAGTTAGGAGAGGAGAAGCACAGTTACAAGCAACACAGTTGTCACACACATGCTATAAAATATATTGTGTTCCAAGTGATTACAGTTCACACGGCATGACTATAAAGGTTAGATTTCCCACATGAATGTCAGGTAGTTCTGTTACACTTTAAGGGTGAAACATTACTAATTACATTGATGTAATTACCTCATGTGGGTCTCTTAGAGGTGGGTAAAATGAACTCCAAAAGGGAATTCAACATTTATTTAATCCCAAGTCACTTTGTGTAGCCATCATACTGACAAGAACAAGAATTATCAAGCTAGCTGGGTATAAGTTGAACAACAGTATGGATTTGAACAAGTAAAATAGTGTGATTATACATCTCAGCTATTTCACATCTCGCTCTCTTGAGATCCTCCTGTTCTCAACCTGTTTTTCGACTCCTTCTCTCTTTTTTTTTTTTTTCCCCTCTCCTAACCGTCTCATTCTATTCCTCCATCTGCAGGGGAAAGACAGGCTTTGCCATCGCCATCAACTTGATGTACGGGATGGCCTCCCTGTCCAGCACCTTTGCCCTGCTGCTTGTAACGGAGTCTTCTATCAAGTCCAAGCATGTGCAACAGGTCAGCGGCGTCTACCTGTCAAACTTCTGGTTTTCTGCCCTGCTGTGGGACCTGGTCAACTTCCTGATGCCCTGTCTCCTCATGCTGGTCAGTATGACATTTCATATTACGTGGTGGGATTAAGGCACGGAGACTGACTACTCATTGTAAACAGAGTGCTCCGATTTGTCCAGGCGGTGGAAACAGTATTCATAAAATTGATGTATACGTTGTCTTATTTTGTTTTATGCTCTTAGGTGGTATTTCAGGCATTCGGAGTTAAGGCTTTTGTAGACGACAACCACCTGATAGATGTGTTGTTGTTACTGCTACTGTATGGCTGGGCTGTTGTGCCTCTAATGTACCTGCTCAGCTTCTTCTTCTCCACTGCCGCTACTGCCTACACACGCCTCACCATCTTCAACATGATCTCTGGCACTGCCACCTTTCTGGCTGTCACCATCATGACCATCCCAGGTGAGAGACATTGGCTTCAAGCGCTGGTAGACAAGTATCTCAAATTACCGTATTGGCCAGAATATAAGACAATGCTGATTATAAGACAGCTGTTTTTTGGAAAAATAGTTTTTAAGATAAGGAACGCTTTCAGAAAAGTCCTGAGAGGCCAGAAATGACAGAGCCCTGATCCTTGAAGCCTTTTCTATTGTAAAAGTGAGACATGAAATACTTCCTAATCCCACTTATCCAAATGTGTTTTCACATGCAGCAACTTCTTCTGTTCTCCTGTCTATGAAGCCAATAACCTACCATTTTTCAGACTGTCAGTTTGAGCTCTTCATCATGACATTCTGTGACACCGGTAATTGGTGGCTGCTTGACAAATTCATTGGAACCTTTTCAGCAGTAAAGACGCTGGGAGACGCTTTCAAGGCATCTTTCTTGTCAGGAATGTACTTCCTCTGTAGTAGCAAAACACATTACACAAACCATCAGAAACTCATGTAGGTTGAACTAGGCTGAATAAGCACAGGCTGACTCTAAAAGACACAATATAAATGGATTTGGAGTAACACGCTATGTTATGCGCTAGTTTTAAGGGTTTGAAGTTTGTCTTTGGCTGAATACATGTGGAGTCCACTCCTTCAGAGATCTGGGTTCAGTTCCCAGCATCTGTCCTTCTGGCCTGGCCGCATCCCTCATCGAATACAATATGCAGTATTTGTGGATGGGAAGCCAGTGAGGGATCACGTTCTAGCAACAAGAAAATGTTTTGTTTTTTTTAAACGGAAAAGAAAAAAACTCGCTTATCATTCCTGTTGATGGCCTCCTTATGCGTTCCTTCTCCAGAGTTGAACCTGACTGATCTGTCGCACTTACTGGATAAGGTGTTCCTGATCTTCCCAAACTATTGTCTGGGCATGTCCTTCAGCCAGTTCTACCAGAACTATGAATTCATCTCATTTTGCACCTCCAGTCCAATCAGTCCGGACTTGTGCAAGTACTTAAGTAAGTACTGAATAAATGTAGCCTCACAGAATGCCATAGAAGTGGTACAGAGTATGTGTGTGGTTATTACAACATAACAATGAAGATGTGGTCTATTACCTACATTTGCCATTTAATTTCTGATGGATCTCAGATATAGGAGATATATTATTAAAATGATTAATCATAATGTGGGTGGCAGTATTACACATGCATTGGAATGACAGTGGTGGTTCATCTTTATAGTGGCAATGATTATATAAATGATGTATCCTAAAAATGAAATACAAATGAAGAATTCATTGCGTTCAGTTTTTACCTGTTTCATCAGACTACATTTTCCACAAATAAAATGACCACATTTCTTGTGTAAACATAACTCTGTGTTTTTCTGATTCTAGACATCACATATCAGACAAACTACTTCTCGATGTCAGAGCCTGGTGTTGGACGCTTCCTCGTGGCCTTATCAGTGCAGGGTGTAGTCTTCATTTTTCTGCTGTTCGTCATCGAGCTGCAGTGTGTCCGCACACTCCGGCGACTCCTCACCTCTCTGTGCAGAAGACGCAAACAGGTAGATGTATTGTGGGAGTGGTGAACAAGGCAGTGTTTGTCTTTTCCTGTGTTTGGGGTGGGGGTAGGGGTGGGGGTGGGGGTGGGGCAGGGGCTTTCCACTTTCATCAGTAATTTTCTATCAGCCCCGAGTTCGCACTGTGTAAGAGGTCTCTCTGGGGAAACAATTTTCAAAGTGTGGTTAAATATATTATAACTGAAACTTAAAAAAGGAGAAGCCTCTAAGGACAACTTGAGTAGTGGTTTTAGATCCACAAAGTGAATGCTCTCTGGTCATGCAGATTTTAATAAATGAGCAGCGAATGCACAACATAGTGTAAACTCTTCATGAGAAGGAAATTTTAACTCTGAGGTAACTCAGTCATAGATAGAAAAACTGCCACTGCGGTGATTCATATTAAGTTGAATGCCAGTTGGCAACACTTGTCACTCATAAAAGAGATCTGGCAATTAGCACTTTGATTTGTAAGTTTTCAAAGCAACAGAACTGCAAACAAACCACATCAACTGACCCCTAAGTGCAGGTGTTAATAAATCTACAAAGTGATTTATTGTATCAAAGGGAACAATCTTGATTTGAATTAACTAAATATTGATGTTCTAAATAAGATGTTCATCAGTTTTTCCCCAAAATGGATACAGAGCATTTCATATATCACTCCTTCCATAACCAGACCAGAGTCCCAGCCACACTTCATCAGGCAGACGAGGCCACAAGGTGTTCCTTGAGGCTTTTCACACTTCTAAGATCTATTAACGCCTCTGCATTTATCAACACATAGACTTTATCAGAGGGAATCTTTGACATTTAAGAATTACACGACTCATCTGAAACTCCTCCAACTGATTTTAAGAAAGCACTTTTGTGAAACTGTGTTTTGGAAACAGAGCATTTAGAGCTGAAATGATCCGTTCGTTAATCGACGATTTGATAAATGAAACGGCACAACATGAGGTGTGAGGAGTTGCTGATTTTCTTTAGCTTATGTGATAGTAAATTGAAAGTGTGTGTGTGTGTGTGTGTGTGTATGTATGTATATATATATATATATATATATTTGGTTTTGGACAGTTGGTTGGACAAGACAAGCTATTTGAAGACTTTGCGTTTGGCTTTAGCAAATAGTCAATATTATAATTAATCAAGACAATGATTAATCAATAATAAAAATAATGTGGGAGTATTATTTCAGTCTAACCCGATACTATGACATAGTAAACGATTACATATTTATGTGTATTATAGTCCCTTATGAAGTATTAATTACTGGACTTTACAAGTAGTGGACATGTGCTGTTGCTGCCAGAACATATGGGACATCAATTTTACTGTGACGTGGAGGCAGTGTCTTACTTTGGTGGTTGATTTTTGATCGTGTGTGTGTATGTGTGTGTGTTAGTTACCTCTAATAGAGGACCCAGCACTACTTCCAGAAGACAGGGACGTGGCCGAAGAGAGGAAGAGGGTCCTGGAGTGTCAGCCAATATTAGAGTCGATGGTTGGTAGCCCCCTCATACTGCAGGAGCTCAGCAAGGTATGTGGCACAGAGGTCTTTTCCTTCTATGCGTGGGTTTGTATTCAGCACTGGCAGAGGATGCTTCATTGTTTAAATATGTGTGACTCTAGAGGAGAGTGTCTCTGTGAGATATGATGAGGTGGTACAGACACGCTGTTATCTCTTCCTTTCAGGTGTACAGCAGTGGGGAGAATCTTCTGGCTGTGGACAGGCTGTCTCTAGCTGTAGGTAAAGGAGAGTGTTTTGGTCTCCTGGGCTTCAATGGAGCAGGCAAGACCACGACCTTTAAAATGCTGACAGGTGATGAGAGTGTCACCTCCGGGGACGCCTACATTGACGGATACAGCATCTTGAGAGACATTAAGAAGGTAAGAGAGGAGGAAGGTGGAAGGAAAGCACATTTCAATATTCAAAGATAAACTGTTTTCAGTAGTTTGACTTAGTTTACAAAATTTTCAGTGTAGTGCTACGGTGCTTTCAAAAGGACAACATTTGAAAGAGGACATTTATCTCTGGATTGCAGGTGCAACAGCGCATTGGTTACTGTCCCCAATTTGATGCTGTGTTGGACCACATGACAGGAAGAGAAACTCTGAGTATGTATGCCAGGCTCAGGGGAATACCAGAAAAGTATGTGTCTGGCTGTGTGGAGAATGTCCTCCGGTCGCTGCTGCTGGAGCCTCATGCTGATAAACTAGTCCGCAGCTACAGGTAGGTAGCCCGTTGGTGCAGAGAAACGAAATCTGAGCCATTCCCCATTCTGTTTTGTGCCATGCAGTTCATATGTTAGCCTGAATAACACTCGGTTTTGTTGAGGAAGTGTGTGTAAATAATGTGTCAACATCAAAATATGCAGTGGTGGCAACAAGCGGAAGCTGAGCGCAGGCATGGCTCTGATTGGCGGGCCTCCTGTCATCTTCCTGGACGAACCTTCAACAGGGATGGACCCTGTGGCCAGGAGGCTGCTGTGGGACGCTGTTACACGCACACGGGAGTCTGGAAAGGCTATAATCATCACTTCTCATAGGTGAGATTTATAGTATGTAATGGGTATCAGCAGTGGTACATTTACAAGTACTGTACTTGGGTATAATTTTGACTTTATATGCAGTTAGGTTAGTTTAGTGGTTCTCAGCGTATGGTTTGATAAATCTGAGGGGTCCTGAGATGATTAATGACAGAGGAGTAAGTTATTTTGCAAATTTTGGATGGTTCAACCTTGTTGGGTCTCGAACAGTTATTTAAGTGAAACCATTTAGGTAAGTTAAAAGGTGAAATCTTTCTTTGGTTGAACTGCTAACATTTCCTAGACGTCTGAAATGTAACCAGGGGCCACAACTAGACTGCTATTTTTTTTGAAAGAGGTCACAAACTAATGTTGGTAACCACTGGTTAAATCTTGTGTTGTATTTTATGGGCCAATGAAATGTTTTAGATAAAGTCTTACTCTGAAATATAACTAGTAACTATGTACAGTTTCTCACAAAAGTCAGTACACACTTCACATTTTAGTAAATATTTGATTATATTTTTCCATGTGACTTCATCTTCTTATAGCTTAGGCCATCTTTATGTAGCGCAACAATTCTTTTTTTCAGAACCTCGAAGAGCGTTCTTTGGCTGTGTGATGTGTTATTTTGAGGGGACAAGAAATTTACATTGTTATACAAGCTGTGCACTCACTACTTTACACTGTAGCAAAGAGTCATTTCTTCAGTGTTGTCACATGAAAAGATATAATCAAGTATTTACAAAAATGTGTGAATCTGTCAGATTAATGTAGTAGAGTAAAAAGTATATTATTACCTCAAAATAGTGCTTAAAGTACAGAACTTAAATATACTTACATTCCAACACTGGAAAAATTATACTTATTACTCTACTGCAATTAGCTGTAGTTACTAGTTACTGCACAAATTCATATATTTTATATATTATAAACTTAAAAAATATTAAGCATAGATGAAACTACCCACCAATATATAAAGTAGTTCAAATTAGCACCACATCCAACTACATCAGTAAAACATTATCTACATATTAATGCATTCATATTTTTCCGGTTATATAATATATAGTATATGACATATATATGACATTCTCCCTGCCCAGTTTTTAGCATATCATAGAAGTACTTTTTTATTTTCAAATTATTTTATTACATTTATTTTTTTCTACCAGTACTTTTGTACTTTTACTTTTGAATGGTAAACTTTCACTTATAAGGAGTATCTTTACCATGTGGTAATAGTAAAAGAGAGAGTACATCCTCCACCACTGGGTGTTAGTTGAAAGAAGTTGTGCTGCTACATCTTGATGCTTGAAAAGCAGAAGACGTGAGAACACTTACCTCTACCTGTCTCCCTGCTATGTTCCCTCACCAGTATGGAGGAGTGTGAGGCCCTGTGTACCAGGCTGGCAGTGATGGTTAACGGTCAGTTTAAGTGCCTCGGGAGTCCCCAACACCTGAAGAGCAAGTTTGGGAGTGGCTACACACTGCTTGCTAAAGTACACATAGAGGCTGAGTTGGAGGAAAGTGACCTGCAGCTATTTAAAGACTTTATCGAAAGTACCTTTCCAGGTCAGTGGCATACAGTTAACAGTCAGTTTCATTTAATTTTAATTCACTGGAAATAAATAAAAAGTGTGTTTACTACCACAGTACCTTTAAAAATAACCAGGAGGTCTCAGAATGTAAAACAACAGAACTAAATATATTATTGTAGCTGCACTGACATTTACATTCAACAATACACATTTGAATGAGAAAATAACTATGTGATCATTATGCCAAAAAAATATCTGTATATGTATCAATATTCTGTGCTTTACAGTATGCAATTGCTGGTGTTTTGCTGTAAAAGCCATCTGAAACTGTAAAAGAATTTCAAAGCAAATATAACCGTGTACATTTTCTTCCACCACAGGAAGTCAACTAAAGGATGAGCACCAGGGAATGGTGCATTATCATTTGACTGACAAAACACTTACCTGGGCCCAGGTAACTGATTTTCAGAAAAGGAAATATCCCACAATGTGCTCAGTAGAAAAATGGAGAAATACATCTCTGCATTTGTGCTATGTTAGAGCACCCTCTAGTGGACAGAGTGGTACACAGTAAGGCTTGAATGCCTAAACTACAATTATATAGCTTCAACAAAATGATCTAAGGGCTTTAGCTAGGAATTGCTTTCTAGTGTCCTTGTCCCTCTGATTTTGTCAAGTGTCCGCCTCAACATGTTTTTCATCTTGATGGGTAATTAAGATTTGTAAAGCAAGCGCAGAGATTTAACACGTGGGTGGAAAAAATAGGCAGTCTGATTAAAACAATGTTTCAAAAAAAACTACACTGACACTTTTTAACTAGTGTTAAAAAACTACAGTGAAAAGTAAATAGCAATGGAAAACAATATAAATTGCAGGTGTGTGTGCACAGGGACAGAAATAAAGTATATTTATTCAGTGTTCAGAAGATGCAGATTGTAGCTTTAAATTGTGATCTTGGCACAAAGCCTTGGATAACTGCAGAGACGCATTCATATCACACTTTTCCATGTTTTCAACCTCCCTACTCTCCACTCCCACCTAGGTGTTTGGCACTTTGGAGGCAGCTAAAGAGAAATACTGCATTGAAGACTACTGTGTGAGCCAGATATCACTGGAGCAGGTGTTCCTCAGCTTTGCCCAGTTCCAGCACTGCACAGAGAGCGGGAGGAAGTAAGAGGAATGAGGAATCTGTCATCCATTGTCCATTTTCTACCGTGTGTGTGTGTGTGTGGAGGGGACCTATCTACATGGACCTGCCTGTGTACAAAGGCTGGATAGAGGAATGGTTTAACCCCAGCTCCATTTTTACCTTGACCACCTATACACACACACACAGACACATACACACACACACACAGGGCTAGTCGCCAAAAACATCATCTTCAGCATTTCTACTACTGGGTCATGACAGTGTGTCTTTGTTGGGTCATTCCTGCCATTGTTGTTGTTGTTGTTGTTGTTGTTGTTGTGTGAAGTAGGAGAATTGGGATTATGGCATTGCGTATACCAAGTCATGAACTCTTGAGTACTGCACCTTTTTCAGTGAGGTAAAAGACGATGACACCACCCATTAGATACTACCACTACTCTGAATTGTGTGTGACGGGGTTTATTTGTGTGCACTCTTTTTGTTATTTATGATTTTATTTTATTACTTGATTTATGTTTCCAAGAATTTATGCTTTTTTGTGTGTGTGATCATCACAAGAAAATGAACCACTCCCATTTGATGCATTTATGAAATTTTTGCACACCTTTGCGCCTTATCAAACTAATGATAGTTCTTGTTACTTTATATTGCCCTATACAAAATGCCTGGTTTTCCTTAAGAGACTCTTAATGTTGTTGCCAGATGTAAATAATGTGACTAGTTCATGATACTAAAAACCACTCACTTGTTCCGGCCAGAGCAGAACATTTACTCATTCAAGGACTTTTTTGGGCACATTAATGAATGCATGCATAGAATACGAGTTATGGAGTGCATGATATTGAGAGAGCTGCTAACGAATACTAAAAGGCCGTCCTTATTGAGGATTGATCCTTAGAATACATTTAGTCCAGTCTGAGTATGTTTAGTACGCCTCCATCGTTCAGTTCCTGTGAACCAATGATTCACTAATTGCTGCCAAACAAGTTACAGCAACAGTGTGTTAACCATGTGATTATCCAGCCATTCCAGATTGGAGGGTAGTTAGAAAGAAATAATGAAATCATTGTGTGACGCACTAGATTATTCTCAAATGTTGTTGCTTTTGCAGTAGAATGAGAGGTCTGGAATTCAGATCAAGTTGTGTCAGACAGCATGTGATTGATTTGGACCTTGAACAACAAGATCGCAATGAGCTTTTTATTTGGATGTGCTACTACGAACCTCATTTCTGAGCGTGCCCAATTTATTGCATAACCAAAGCAAAGTACTTTAAAGAACGAGTAACATTTGAAGTTTCCGAACAAAATAAATTGACGGTTGACGATAAAGGTGTTCTTAGTCCTGCTTTTCATCCACGTTCAAAGATCAATGTTATAATCTGGGGTGAGTTGGTAATTAACTTGAGTGTGCGAATGGCATTCCTACTCACTCTTGACTTGATAGACGTAAGATGAATGTATTTACTGTCTCACACGAAAGCATAAGCACTGGAAGTAATCAACTTTTTTAACTGCTTCATATGATTTACAATGCTTTTTTCATAAGATGTGTGTGAGGAAAAACAGTAGATGTCTGACATTCCAGAAAGACACGCATATGTGGCTAAGTTGTCTGTAAAAGATTAAATTTTTTTATTTGGACTTTTGTTACATTTGTTTGTTATTACATATTACATGTATGACTTGAATCAATTGCATTGTTAAATAGGTACCTTGTTTGAGGAAAAATGAAAAGGGTTGAGCTGCTGATATTTAATGATTGACTTAGGCTGAAATACACAGTGTATCATTTAAAAAGGGAATTTACACCATTGTAATTCTGTACTGTACCATGGAACTGACCTCGTCAACTGTACATGTATCCTTATTCTTTTTAAATTAAATAATGCTCTATGCAAATGGAAGCAAATAGCAGTGCCTTGTCTAATTTTTCCAGCAAGTGACCCTTCATAACTTTCTTGAATCTATTTGCATGGGTAGATACTACGGGGTATCTAGCCAGAGGTAAGTGGTAGCGGGGAGAGGGGTTGTTTATGTAGTGTAGTGAACCGACAGTGTGGATTTGTGCATTTTATATTAAATAATTTGGAGACTCAACTCCTCTTTTCTCTCCCATAGAGAAGGAGAGGGTTTGATTATTAACCCTCTACAGATGGCTGAAGAGACCCAAAGGAAAAGGTGAAAGGTTGCTTCCCCTAAGTGCTATTCCGGGGCAGTTGATCGTAAAACTGGCCACTTGGCAACAGCCAAGATAAGCCTCTCGGTGCCTGAATTGTTAAAATGACAAAGAAACTAACCAGAGATTACAAACAGCCTATCAGAACTCTCTTTAAAAGGGGGCACACACGTAACCATGGCAACTGACTTTGCTCTGTGTTTAATTACCTTTTGCAGTGTTTTAATTTTCAGCAAGATTAAGGACACTCCTTCATTTTATGTGTAACCAATGCTTGTTCACAATACTTTCTCACACAATTCCTTTAGAAATAATGATAAATGTCATATACTCTATTAATTGCCAGCTTGAATTTAAAGGCTAAATAACTAAATTTCCCAGTTCCTAAGGAAAGATTGTTTTTGGATTAATCTAAGATGTTGTCATGTAACCTGAGCTCCCCCAAGTGGACGAAATAAGTATTATTTATATTTATTATATTTGATTATAATACGCGCAGATAGATTTTGTTTTTCTTTATAGACATATTAAAAGTTAATTTCTCTTGCTCTTCGCTGTGCTCTCTGGACGTTTCGGCACCATAGTTCAGCACGCGACCGCCATGTCCCTCCCGGCGTGCCCTCTCCCGGCAACGCCCTAAGAATTCAACCAGCGCAACGAAGTCTTTGTTTCGCTTGAAGCTACACACGCGAAGTGCCGCGACTAAAGTTTCCCTCAGTTCCAGTAACTTGTTTTATTTTCTTTCTTTTGTTTTGTTAAAGTTATCAGTCCGTTAAGTTACACTAGTCTAATTCAAGAATGACTAATTTCCCTTTTTAAGCTTTTTCGTCGAGCACGCGACGTTGACCGCCAGCAGTAACCAAGGACGATGAAAACTGCTAACCCGAGCCAGGGTTGGCCCCCACTGCAAGTATCTTCAATAAGCCTCCCCGAGACGAACCCCGGAGCAATTCACTGGCAGAGAAAGCGACTGGCCGGCGGCTTGAAGCTGTCCTAAACGAGAACGCACGGACTCTGCCAGTGTGAGGCCGCTTATCAGCAACCCGGTGGGAAGAAACACAAACCATAAGACCAAAACCCTACATTCTGTGGTCAGGGATGTCCCATAGTGTTAATATTGTCTTTTTAACTCCTAAACTCATAGCTTACTTTCATTAGTTCTCCTCTGCCGTATGAGTCAAATGCTTCCCACAATGAAAGTGAATAATTGTATAATTATTAAAAGCTACCTAGAGGTCCGGAGACTCTAGGTTAATAACAACTCCGGTGGTGCCCCGCGAAACGAGAGATTTTTATGATTAATATTTTATGAATATTAAAATTCATAATTGGGTATTAAGTTTCATAAATGTATTAAAATTCATACGTAGTTTAGACATGCTACATTTATATATATTAAACTTACATGTACTGTCTTCAAATTACCTATTCCATTTAAAGATGATTACACATATGACATCGGTCACAATATTTATTTCAGTGGAAATACTGTACATGCACCTAAAGTCTCCCACATAAGAAGTCCGATTGAGGGACGAGATGCTCAGATATCGGGGAGCATCTCAATCCAATTTGTGATTTGTTAGTCTACAGTGTATCCCAAAACTCACCTTGAGTACCCCTTGACATGCATATTTACCTGCTCCAGCATAGTTGATTTTAGACCAGAGGAAGAAGCCACAAGATAAATCTTTAGAGGTCATGGGATGATTACAGAAAAAGAACACCAACAGCAAAAATAAGGCACTCAGCTTTTTTCATGTAAAATACTAGTAGTACTAAAAGCTTTAACCTCTCTAGCCCTTGAACATGTTTAAATTGAACAACTTCAGAATGAAAATTTATTCTTATAAACATGCAGGGTTTGAATGAAGAATGAAGGTTAACGGTTTACAAGCAGATATTGATTGTATTAACAAGCTGAACACTTTGAAAACTACTAGTGTAGGCATATTGGATACTGATTATTGCTATGGCAACCAGCAGCGCTTGTAGAAGCAGGAGCCATTAACTCCTTCAAAAGCTACACTTTTTTTTTTTAATCTTTTTTTTTCTGCCTTTCTTTCCCGAAACACGTGTTACCTCTGAAATAGTCATTGGAAGATGAAGACAGGGTTTTTGGATGAATGAGCAACAGACCACAATCCACCGGCTCAAACAACTGGACCAGGCACCACGGCGGGTGCGGTGATCGCACATACATACTTACAAATAATAGTATGTATGTTTGTGCAAGCGAAGTATTCAATTTTGGCCTAGGCAGCTTCTCATATGTTACCATATTTTAATGTAGGCCTACACCTAATTATATGTTGTGTGTGTGTGTGTGTGTGTAGCATGACGGATCTACAAATTTCGTTTTGTTATGCAACCTTGTGCTGTATAATGACTAATATACAACCTTGTACCTTGAATAAATAAAAGACTGTTTACTAGTCTGCAGCGAAACTTTGAACTGACATCTGTCAATAATTTCTTACCCACAAAACAGGTAACCTGCGTTTGACTCTACAATTAAATTATTGTTACTGTTTACTAGTCTGCAGCGGAACTTTGAACTGACATCTGTCAGGAATTTCTTACCCATAACACAGGTAACCTGCATTTGACTCTGCAGTTAAATTATTGTTATGTTATGGTTATGTGAACCTGTTATTGTAGAGTTTTGGTGTACCAATATGTAAGATTTAACCCTGGCCAAGTCTTTCTGCTTTAACCCGTTTAATCCCACCGGTCACATGTGACCGCATCTTTTTTTATTTTATTTCTGAAACTCTAAAAGTTGCAGCCATACCAATGTAATCCCTGCTACTGCTGAATGAAGCTAAGCAGGTTTGGGCTTGGCCAGTACCTGGATTGGAGACCTGGGAAAACTAAGTTGCTGCTGGAAGAGGTGTTGGTGGGCCAGTCAGGGGCAGTCTTCCCTCTGGTCCTAATAATAAGATCCAAATGCCCCACTGCAGTGATGGGGACACTTCTTTCCTGCTTGCACATCTGGAAGAATATATCTTCCGCAAACTACTACAAAAAGTAGTAAGTAGAACACCTTAATTAACAGATAGAATTATCATATTTTGTACATATATTCTTTTAAGTGTCGACTACTGATATTGGAGATTTGGAGAATTATACTCCTGCATATATATTTTGCTCATAAGAACTGTAAATTTGTCAACGGTCACAATTGTGACCGGCAGTGTAACAGTGCTTCAATTGAAAACACAGGTTTTGGCTGTGATCCTAGTTATCATTTGTTTATTTTCACACATTTTTTGAAACTATCAGATATTTTCACACATTTTGAAACTATCAGATGTGCTGGACCTCCTAGACATACGTGACCCCCCCAGTGCTTTGTGCAACATCATGATCATTCCTACATTTGAAAATGTGGCATTTGAAAGTGACTGTGATAGTGATGGCTCAAATAGGTAGACTATTGAATGGCACTCTAGAGATAAACTATCTGGAGGATGAGACATTTTCATGAGAACCAATTGGTTTGAGATGTCAATAGAGGGTTGGCAACAGAGCAGTGGCTAAGACACATGTCTCTGGTGTGAAAGATTTCCACTGTGACACATCCATCAATGTGTTCCTAAGCAAGACACTTAACCAGTGTCTAGTTGCTCCAGATGCGTGTGACTGAAAGTAGTTTGGGATAAGTGTCAGCTAATTAAATAATTATGTCAAATACCTATATAGTGAAAACCAATCTGAACATGGATGAATTCTGACTTCTATGGGGTTCTTCTCACATCTTCTCACATCACTTGTTTTGGTCATATGACCCTGATGTCTACAATGAAGCAATCTCAAAGTACGGCCCATCTTCAGTGCACTGAATTATTCTTACAAAATTATGCCATACCCAAAATGGTTATCAGTTGCTGAACGCATGATACCTTATAATGGTAGGCATGCTTTTAGAATCAGAAATATATATATATATATAAAAAAATATATAATATTGCCATGTAGGTTAACAAAGAATTATCTTATTTTAATATAAAGTTTTTAAAAAATGACAAGATATAAAACAAGATATAAAAAATATAAATAATCATAAAGAATATGTAAGAATATATGCAGTGATATGCAAAATACTGATAGTGTAAAGGGGTTTGTGTCCAGGGTGGAAGGGTTGCCTCAGAGTCCTGGAGGCCAACAGGTCTTTGAGACCGCCCTCCTCTTGTGATGGCGATAATGCAGAGAATCTTGTGTCCTCTTGTGTTGTCGTACCTGCGTAATACGGTGTGTGCGTGTGTGTGAGTCTCTGACTCTGAACTGCAGTAACACCTAGTTGTGAGAAGAGGAGTTCATGGTCCCTCCCATAGAGAGAGGAGGGGATGATGAGAACCAGTGTGGATTTTATGTAGGCTTTTTCTTAACTGTGACTAAACTGTCTTATAGTAAGTAGCTTTATAATGACAGTTAAACTTTCTCGGTACCAAAAATGTTTCAAATGTGTGAGTGATTATTTACTCTTTTCTTATCGACAGGCGGATCTTATGCTGAAGTATTTTATTCCCCATCTCATACAGGAAAAAAGACTTTGGCCCAGAGTTACACAGACATCCCTCAGATAGAGAAGGCAAAATCAGATTAATGTTCCTACAATTAGAATCCATTGTATTAATATTGTAGCCTATTAAAAAATTTAGTTAAGATCCTGCCATGCAGTATCGCTCATATAACGGGGATGTTCTTGAGGGTGAGGGGTGACTACGGAT